CATGCCAATTAGTTTTGATTCATCGTTGTCACTTCGATTCCTACCCAACCGATGACGTCATGGAGACACCGACAGTTCTATTTCACGATTGGCTACATTTGTCCATTCGACGCGGAGATCCTGGAAATTCTCAAGACACCTGTACACATTGTTTCTCGAGGTTGGCAATGCCTTTTATTGATGGACTACATGCAAATCTGGCGGCTTTGGCCAGTATTTATTGACATTCGCTGAGTGATTGTTTCAGTGGACATTCTGTAATTAACATGAGCACTGTATATAGTGATTGGGATTTACCAAACATTGCACGTTAGTCAGAAATGGTTTACATGATGACCGAAAGAGATCTATTGCCCTCTGATCCAAGCCAGACCTGGTTCAAGGTGAGATTTAAGTTGTTTATTGTGTACTTAAATATTCAAACCAGCATATCATTTGTATATTATAATTCCTTAAGGGACACATATTTCCAAACCAACTGACCCACGGGTAGCATCTCCGAAATCTCTAAAACATCTCGTTCATTGTCGTTTAAAGAAGCAAGAGGACTTACCAGCACTATTTATTGGGTAGCTAGTGTTACAATATGCATTGTTATTCTGTCTCAAGAAAATACCTCAAATGTATCCTTCAATATGAGAAAAGCGCAGGAAGCCATTTACTGCTAAAGTCAGATTGATTAACAGAACCATTTTGTATCTTTGTTTGTTCTGAGGCAATTATCAAACGAAATGCCCCAAATGATGTATTTCATTTTGTTATTCTATTAACCAGTATATGACACAATGAAGTATACTTGTAATGTTCAAATATCAAAAACAACAAATTTACGTATTTATTATCAAACAAAAGCATTGCATTTAAACAAAATACGAGGATTATTCCACTTATACTGTGTCGAAAACTGACGCCCCAAAAGATACTTTAAGTCATTTTCCAATGTCCGAAGGAAACAAAATAATAGCTACTCAATCTGATGTGTTTTAACAGCTGGGTCTAGACGTAATTGATTTCTTGTGTGAAATTGATATAACGAATCAATTTTAATTGGGTAATGGAGTTTTGTTGATTGATTTAGATAATATAAACTTGAGTGAGCAGACAAGCTAAGTGCTGACTGATCTAACATTGCGTGCAAATTGACACGAGCTAAGTTATGTTTATGCAGTGTAAAAGCAATTAAAGCCATTAACTTTAAAAGAGTAACAAATATCTCTTCAATTCTGGTACACGGAGTGCGTTGTGTTTATTGATCTAAGACAATATAAGGTGTATGAATATTTGTGATGTGTAGCTGCAAGCGGATAAAAAGACATAAGCATCACAAGATGTTTTTCTTTTCAAATCCCATATTTCATATTCCAGAGTTATACCTCTAACTGCATTACAGGGAATCGTCGACAATATTTCCATACTGAGCTAAATTTACCACTTTACATTTTCATATGATTCGTCTGGAGAAGGTATCAGCACAAAAAGATATAGTACATTATGAAATTAAAGTCTTAACTCGATAACAGATGAAGCCGTATCTTGACACAGTTCATCGTCAGAGGAGCTGTTGCTATCATGATGAGCTTGTTGTAGATAAAGCACCGTGTCTGTCTGACTGCATGAATGTAAAGCTGGGTATTCATTCTGGAAAACTCTATTATAGCATTTCTTCGTAGAATTTCACCTCACACTCGTAAACCTATAATTTAATCTAATGAAACACATCAGCAGTATCTCTTACAGACACAAGAGTTAAACTGTCTCACTAAATCACCTGAAGGAAATTAAGGCTCCATTTAAAGGCATAAACGCCTCCGAGAGCCGAAAAAATACAAGGATATCATGGTGGCTATGTATTGGCTTTTCGTCTGTAAAGACGTCACAGTTCCGTTTACACGAGGATGTTATTTGTAAACCCACTTAGCTCCCGTTTGTAATTCTTCAATTTTGCTGAAAGTGGTGCTGATTGGCAATGATATTCTTGTCCCCATAACTCATGTTTTTTCAACTTGTTGGTGTAATGTGTTTCAAGTCTTGTGATACGTGCTTTGCGTCTTGTTTGTGTAGAAAGTAGAAATGTATTTGGGATCTCGGGACGATATGTTTGATTAAGATTAATCATGTTGATACTGATCGATATGTTTCCCTCCTGCGTCGAAGAATATTTGTGAAAGCGGTTATGGATTTTGTACCTTTTCATTATGTGAATTGAACTGTTCTTCCTGGTAAATTGCTCACAATCAGCTGATTTGTATATATTGATTGTTGTATCAAAATTAATCAATTAATCGATTAACGATTCACAACCGAATTACCAAAACACAGGCACCACATGTATGCATGTAAGAATGTTGGATATGGTCCATGTTGATGTTTCAGATTATGTTCCTGTATTCCGGTGCTGATGTTTCTTGTTCGTTCCTAAAAAACCTATTTATCAACAGAGTGCAAGTAATGTCATGTAATACTATCCCGATCTGAATGCCTTGAAGGAGGATTGTTCCTACACTGGCAACTTGTACTGGTTTCTCTTCTGAACGCGATTTGCCATCGGGGATGTCATACGTCCAAAATTGACCAGTGTGAATGTCTGGCGAACCAGTCAATACAAATTGTATCTGACTGGCGAATAGTAAGTCATTTTTCGTATAACTAACAGTGGGGGTGTAGGGATACTAGTTACTGGAAGAACCGAAGATAAAGTTATGATCTTTGGAAGCATTATTTCCACAATGTGAGTCCAGCAGCCGGCTCCAAAGACCTTATTGATTTCCGCATGGTAAGCAGTGCATTTTGGCATCGATGCCAAGTCATTTACTCTTAATGTAATTTGCATCAGACAGCTAGACCAAAGGATATATCGCTGCACTGATTTGGGGGAGAAATATACAAGGAACCAAAGCCTCCCAAAAACAACAACAACCAAATCCAATAAACAAAATACATGGGAGTTGGTAGTGGATGTTTTGTAATGCCACAGCCAGCAATACCAGTTTGTATGAAGGTGAAAATCAATTCGTAGAATAGAGCCATGGTGACATACAGAAATTCAAGTCACAGCTTGACCACCAAAAGAGTGTTGGTCAACTCAAACGTCAAACATACGCTAATCAGGACCTGTTATACCTTGGGATCCGACACAGGGGCATTATGGTGTTGAAAATTAGATATATACTCATGCAAAATAATAGATCTACATCATGGGGAAATCCAAAACGTGGCAAGAGAAGAGAGAATATTCCACCGTTACCGACCCTCGAAATCCAAAACGTGGCAAGAGAAGAGAGAATATTCCACTGTTACCGACCCTCGAAATCCAAACGTGGCAAGAGAAGAGAGAATATTCCACCGTTACCGACCCTCGAAATCCAAAACGTGGCAAGAGAAGAGAGAATATTCCACTGTTACCGACCCTCGAAATCCAAAACGTGGCAAGAGAAGAGAGAATATTCCACTGTTACCGACCCTCGAAATCCAAAACGTGGCAAGAGAAGAGAGAATATTCTTCTTGGCGGTAGCCGAGTACTAGTTGACCACTGCGCCATGTTGCCCTCTATCTTGTCGTAATATGGTGCCATCTTGGTGAATGTCATGTCTAAATAGTTCATGATGCCTTTCTCAAATGTCACAAACTACGTTTGTCAACGGCACGTGGCAGCAAGTGATCTTAAATGAGGCCATATGTGTACAGCTATACGTACTTATCTAAATATCCACGTGTTGATGTTTGTTGCCTTTTTCAAATGTTAAATATAAAATGGGACATAATACATAACGTAACGAAAACACATCTTCAGATACTGCGAAGTGAAAATATTGACAATGTCTGTTAAACATAGCATGACACTGAACGCAGTAATTATATTTATGAGATCTGTTGACAATGACAAAATCGTTTGTTATGAATATCCAAGGATTCAACTGGTAGTAAAATTTAATCGACAGAGATTACGACCCGTTAACTGATATCCAAGATGAAGATGTATTGTCTCCAAGGGATGCTCTACGTGATTATATCCCTTCATGATCCAGCTGGTGGATTTATAGACTATTAAACCAGGCACTAGGCCCGGAGTGACCATGACGCTCTCCAAGGTCAGGTTACACGTTCAAGGGATAAACAATTAACGCGAACTACTTCATTACTGATAATTCGCGGACGTTTTTATTGACACGAGAATTGACGTGTGCGACATTATGAATCCAAAGGTTCTCTCTGACGATGACTACATATGTTGTTGAAGCATGCCAAGTCGCATCGTAGTTTGTCAGAAATGACGTTGCTGACCCGCAATGACGTGCAGCCTGTAGCTGTATATGACGGCAAATCACTTGTCGAACCATGTGTATTCTCATGGGCAGACAAGTGGCGGGACTATACGTGACGTATGTTCTCATTCTGCACATGACGTAGACGAAGATGTAGTTCCAATTCATCACATACGTCATGGTACTTATACAGTTATTTCCATTACGATTTAAATGACGACACCGATTTTCATCTTTGCACTCTTAACATGAAGTGTCACATGACGGGAGTATTGTTTGTGTAGTGTATGCTTGACGTGGCTTTGTGAGTGTTACATACAGTACCTAAGATTAAAATTAGAAGCTATAATTATCTGATCCGATTATTCTGTTCCAGAGAAAAACAATATCACAACCAACACGAAACATGCGTCTTCTTCCTAATAAATCATAAAATTCACTTATTGTTGAAATACTTGACACTTAGTTGAGATACACTGTCACAATGGGCACCATGAAGCGTTATTGCACCTGCTCGATGCACTTATACTGAGGGAAACAAATAAGGGTACACCCCTTCATGGCAGTGATCCTATATTGATTCTCAGGTTTCCTCCCACAGTTCTATTCAAAGTTGGTGATGAAAACTGGAAAATATTAAAGGAACACTTGCATTTTGTGTGTTCCTTTATTTGTTACTCTCAGTATATCATTAATAATTGTACATGTCATTGTAATGTTCATGTTGTATATTTCAGTTCCTCGCGGCACAAACTCTGAAGATTGCGTCTATGAATGGCTTGGGCGAACTGGACAAGCTTGAATCAGAATTAGAAGATGAAATCAATTATGAAAGTCAAGCTCCTCCCAGGGAAACACTTCAGAAGTAAGTGATATATATAATATATATAATAAGTATTGTAACAGGACGGAAGTCTATTTTCTGCACATAATCATGGTTTTATTTGATGTATGCCGAATTATCATTAAAGAAAAGGAATGAAGGAATGACAGCAGATGTTATGAAGAATTCTAAGAAATCACGCCTCTAGTGACTAATTTCCTGCCACAATGCTCAGAAAATATGTTAAGATCTAGTTAATACAGATTCCAGTATATCGATGACAACCAGTACTGGCTTCAGGTATGGATTGTGTTTGTTCGAGATTAATGGATCGTTTCTGTTCTAACGTTGACTGTAAGGGACAGTGACACGCTGAAAGAGTGCATGTCAAACAAAATACCTCACTGTCTGTCTGTCGAATAGGACTGCACAATAGAGAGACTTACTAATTTCATGTATATGTACTCATGTATCAAACAGTTGATCACACTACATATACGCTTAGTGTCAAACAGTTGATCACACTACATATACGCTTAGTGTCAAACAGTTGATCACATTTCATAGAGACTTGGTTTCAAACAGTTGATCACACTTCATAGAGACTTAGTTCTAAACAGTTGATCACACTTCATAGACACTACGTCTCAATCAGCTGATCCACTACACAGACACTAAGTTTCAAACAGTTGATCCACTACATAACACACCTTTTAACAGGAGATCCCACAAGGCAGACACGTAGGGTAAAACGGGCAACCACACTGAATAAACAGCGTCAAACAGGCAATCACACTGAATAAACAGCGTCAAACAGGCAACCACACTGAATAAACAGCGTCAAACAGGCAACCACACTGAATAAACAGCGTCAAACGGGCAACCACACTGAATAAACAGCGTCAAACGGGCAATCACACTGAATAAACAGCGCCAAACAGGCAACCACACTGAATGAACAGCGTCAAACAGGCAGCCACACTGAATAAACAGCGTCAAACAGGCAACCACACTGAATGAACAGCGTCAAACAGGCAACCACACTGAATAAACAGCGTCAAACAGGCAATCACACTGAATAAACAGCGTCAAACAGGCAATCACACTGAATAAACAGCGTCAAACGGGCAACCACACTGAATAAACAGCTTTAAACGGGCAACCACACTGAATAAACAGCGTCAAACGGGCAATCACACTGAATAAACAGCGTCAAACTGGCAACCTTACTACACGTGTCCTTGATGTCAAACTGGCAACCATACTAAATAAATAGTAAGTGTTAAACAAGAGATGACACTGCTTAAACACTGTCTGACAAATATTAAACCACACTACCGAGGCAGTTTATGTTAAACATGAGACCACTCTAACATAGAGATATCTTTGTTTAAAATTAAGTAGTGTAGCATTCACTATGTGTTTCGCCTCTGTTCCCTTCTCATTGTTACATAATGAGCATATTAATATACAATTCTGTTACACGTACATCCGGGCGGGGTCGTATATATGTGACACGTTATCTGTGTAAATGTGATACAGGTTTAAGCAGGTGACGACCAAATTATCCGACTATGCACATGTACCGCAATGGCTAGGTAGAAACCTGATCTCTTCACATGAGATACTGAAAGAACAAAGACAAAAGCGGAACCTCTTCCTGACGTCATCGACGACCTTCTCGTTACCAGACATAATACGTTGCGTGCAACATAATATATTCAGTTTGGGGTCGCGATACTCATTGAATATATCTCTATGAAACTGTGTAAGACTTTATTAAGGATCTATCTCGTTGTATCAACAACCAGCATGTGACCGAAGTGTCGTGACGAGAACATGTTTGTAACAAGAACATGACACTGTCTCATCTGTTGTCCTTTTGATCCGTGCATATAGTGTCAGAGTGACAAAAACTCCTGAAGACTGTATGATAAGACATGCTTCAAATATGCTTCAAATATAGCCGTGCATGGACTCAAGCAAAGACGTCTTACGATCAGAAAAACTGTTTTGCATTTTACCTAAAGTACACGCACTACAGTCGGTTTCAACAATTTCAAGTACTTTCTCATTGCTGAAAAAATATACCCTACTATGCTCCCTGTCCGCCATTCTGAAAAAAGCTATTTCATCCGTCTCGCACTCCGACTCACTAACAAGTCTGCTCGATCAATACATGTAATAACATTAATCTGTCAGAGGCGAACATTAAATAATTCCTCAGAAGAAAGTCTTCTCTCAGCAGATCAAAGAAACTTGCCCTTCTGAATCATATTAGTTAGAATACATAATGCTCAATCGCCCAATGTAAGTGCCAGCGTTTGAGTAGATGCATAGTACAATTATATTTACACCCATACCCCTTTTATCTGGAGCTTCTTTCTCAAACGACACACACCCTCATTGTACTATGTAATAACGTCCAAGAGGTTCCCCTGCGGTGCCTATAAAACAAAGATGAGGATCAATATAACAACTTGGCAATGGATCAAGATCCCCGTATTCAAAAACATTTACTGCGTCACCTTGGATAATTGGAATCGGGGATGAAAACACTCTCCTGTCTACCGCACACTGCAATCTTAAGTGGAGGGTAAATTGTTTAGGAGCAGTATATGCAGGTGCTTTGGAAAGTCTGCTTTTGAATGTTGGCAGCACTGCCTGTTTTATGTTGTTAAGCCTACCTAGGATCGCCTGAAGCATAAGCCTTGGATATCAGTAAGAAGTGAAGGGTGCTTTAAACAGGGTCATATCTGGTAAAAAGTTAATTGACTCGTGAAATATTCATACTTAAGTAAAGCCGGTGGACAGATCACCATGAGATAATAGATCTTCAAGAGATGCTCATTGGTAGTTCAGTGACGTGTAATGTATTACTGTAGCCGAGTCGTAAGAAGTATGACCTGTACGTCATTGTCATAGGGCAGGAATAGATTTCAGCAAGTATTGTGTGATTGTTGTACGACATGTACAGGGTATATCAGAAGACTGACATGGTCTTCACTCACTCACTCACTCACTCACTTACTCACTTTTCTGAAGATTGTGAATCTACTGAGTGTGTGAGTGAGTTTAGTTTTAAGCCGCTTTTAGCAATATTCCAGCAATATCACGGCGAGGGACACCAGTAATTGGCTTCACGCATTGTACCCATGTGGAGAATCGAACCCGGATCTTCAGCGTGACGAGCGGACGCTTTAACCACTAGGCTACCCCACCGCCCACTGGGTTGGTGGAATATTGGTTATAATGATCATATTGGGTTACCGTTATAATGACCAAGAATTCACGAACCAGTCAAACAAGTACAGAGAAAGCTGATATGCACTGGCTTAACGAACAAGGGGTATGACTGTAACGTTATGTAAAAACACAGACTCCCATTTCACAAAATGGACAAATCACCCTCAGCAATATTGTGACGGGACATACTTTAATGTTTGTATACATCGGAATGAGCTGGGAGCGACATGATATCCATACTTGTTGATTGTTAACGAAAAACTGTCGACTCGACAGCTGGTCTGCATCAAAACAACGGGAAGTCCTTACGGGATTAGGTAAATAAAATACATGAGATTCTCAAATTTTAAAAAGAACTGATCCTCGCATGATAAAAAACTTAAACCTAGTTGAATCATAAAAATATATGGCATGTTTTGGGAAATGAATTTGAAATTTAAGATCGATTTTGGATTCAGAACGCACTATTTATCATCGTTTATAATGGCTGAACGTTTCTCGCGTGTCACTTTTCTTTCTAAATGTACATTGCGTAATATATATTTAATGGAATACTTTACCATGTGATTAGTAACAAAATGTAGAACATTATTTATCTCTGTGGGGCACGCGTGTTGGGACATCGGGCTATAAGCAATTTCACATCTTAAGATTGCAAAATACTCTAAATAAAGCATGAATTCATCAAAAATCGATTATGACAAATCATGACTGTTCGCTTATTGAGTAACTTGCCGACCGAACATCAATGATTTTAATCGCGTATTAATATTAATGGTATGAAAATAAAGACCCGTTGTCTTGTCGAGGTTGTAAAGAAAATGCTATCTGATTAATACCGAAAAAGGTCTGACACAGATATGTCTTAACAAAATCAATTATATAGCTGCTATGGTTGTACGCTCTCTCCAGTGTCTCCAAACGTAGGTGGGAAAGTTACCACTATGATATAATTGATTTCCTATTGTAAAGCGTGTGCGGTCAAAGTGAAAGCAAGTCGAGACACACGGGACTTCGTTCACAGACTGATTCGACCAAAGCGGTCTGAACCCATGAAAGGCGAAACGTAACATCGATTCTTAGAGGAAGAAGGAAAACCATCCATTATATTTAATTAGAAATTTTACTCAAGAGACACACAAAATTCTTTGGAAAGTTTCAAGCAAAACAATCGATAATTTATGGGGTTTGGAAGAGATATGTTTTGACTTGATAAATGATGCAGCAACGTGCCCGTTTCTGTCAATTATCTGTAAGTGACATTGATCGCAACTTCAAAATTCTCTTCAGTTCCGTGCTTTGATGCCATAGCTTTATACCATATACAGTGACATTCGTGTGTACTGTTACAATAACGGTTCTTGTTATCTTTGCCTATCTGGAGTGGTTAATGTAGATAAACGTTGCAAGAGACGCATGTATGAATGTACAGTCGAATAATATAATTCAGGCAGACATTGAGGCAACACAGAAAATACTTAGTGTTCCAGTAGATCATAATAACAAAGAAATATTCATTTTTAAGGTTAATTAAGAAATCATATTTGAACAGCTTCCAGGACAAACCCTTCTGTTCCGAATCAAACTCGTCTATATTCTGTGGTTCAGTGACATCGTCAGTGTTGTGGCAATGGCAGTAGTCGTGGTAGCAGCAGCAGCAATAATTGTAGGTTTGTTTGTTTGTTCGTTTAACGCTGCACTCAGTTATATTCCAGTTATATGGTAGCGGTCTGTAAATAATTGAGTCAAGACAATCTAGTTATGAACAGCATGAGCATCGATTTACGAAATTGGGATTAGTATTAGTAATAGCAGAGGTAACAGGAGCAGCAGTAGTAGTGTAGTAGTAGTAGTAGTAGTAGTAGTAGTAGTAGTAGTAGTAGTAGTAGTAGTAGTAGTTGTAGTAGTAGTAGTAGTAGTAGTAGTAGTAGTAGTAGTAGTAGTAGTAGTAGTAGTAGTAGTAGTAGTAGTAGTAGTAGTAGTAGTAGTAGTAGTAGTAGTTGTAGTAGTAGTGTAGTAGTAGTAGTAGTAGTAGTAGTAGTAGTAGTAGTAGTAGTGTAGTAGTAGTAGTAGTAGTAGTAGTAGTAGTAGTAGTAGTAGTAGTAGTAGTAGTAGTAGTAGTAGTAGTAGTAGTAGTAGTAGTAGTAGTAGTAGTAGTAGTAGTAGTAGTTGTTGTTGTAGTAGTATGATTTAAAGACTTCAGTCCCATATTTTTTGAACATTGAAGTTATTGCTTATCTGCCTTTGTTTTCCAACAGAGTTCGCCGAAAGTTGGAACATTTCCTCCACTCCAAGCCCGTGCTGCTTGTTGTCGTCGTCCTCAACGTCATCGACTGTCTGCTTGTACTCGGAGAGCTCACGTTTGACTTCAACCACGTGGGCAGTAAGTGAATGTTTATCTACTTCATTGAAACATTTAACACTAGGGCTGACTGCCCACCTGCATGCATGCCTCAACTGGGGGTGCTATGACCACACCAAAGGAACACACTAAATTCAAGTTGTCTTGGACATGGTGCCAAGGCTTTCAAATATTGTCACTTCGGCTTCGGCTAGAATAATGACTTTCCAAGTTCAGCTCTGATTATGTTGTCCAGTTTATCTGCACTGTCCCCGTGCTTATGGAGTTTGCCAGGATAAGGACTATGTCACTTTGGATTGTCACAGCAGATCCAGGTGAAACGCCGTGATTTAACTGAAATACTGGTTGGTTGGTTTGATGTTTAGCGCCACAATATTCCAGCTATATGGCGGCGGTCTGTAAATAATCGAGTCTGGACCAGACAATCCAGTGATCAACAGCATGAGCATCGATCTACGCAATTGGGAACCGATGACATGTGTCAACCAATCCCGTTAGTCGCCTCTTACGGCCAGCATGGGTTGCTGAAGATCAATTCTAACACGGGCCTCATACTATAACTACTTACGGCCAGCTACTAGTTGTCCAGGGTCCTGGTTTTAATCCCAGAGACTCCCAACGTACCATCCCAAGGATGCCTGTGTTCAAGGGGATGCATCAAAAACACGCCCCTGGTATCACCTGCCTCTTCAGATGAAATGCTGTGAGGGGGCGGTTGGGTAGCCTAGTGGTTAAAGCGTTCGCTCGTCACGCCGAAGACCCAGGTTCGATTCCCCACATGGGTACAATGTGTGAAGACCATTTCTGGAGTCCTCGCCGTGATATTGCTGGAATATTCCTAAAAGAGGCGTAAAACCATACTCACTCACTCACTCACTCACTCACTACTTCACCGGATAAGTGCAGTGTGTGTCACAACAGTATCATACACATCTAACGATTATGTATTTGAATAATGTATCAGTAGAACACATTTGAAACATATTCAAAGTCCCAATGTATTTATAAATTAAAGTGTTATATTTCAATTTATATTTGATTTCATAGTGATCGAAGAAAAGTAACAATTGCATACGCTCATGTATCTTAACAACAAATATGACTGATATCACACATAACAGCCGTTCTTTCTGAAGCGATTTTATTACATAAGTTCATCAAACAGATGTCGATAATTGCTTGTTATTGGGACTATTATAAAGAACTCAATTACACCCTAAACAAAACCATATCGTGTAACTGATTCAGCTGAATTACATTTATAATTGGTGTTGGTTGTATCATTTTACAAAAGCCCCTGTTTGTTGTTAGTTCAAAATTATCCCAGAACGAGCGTTAGAAGAGGGTCCTTTACAGACCAGTCTACCAATCATTTCACAGTCGTGTCATGAAGTTACCGTTCATGAAAAAACAACATAAAATGAGTTTTCAAGTGCACTTGAAAGGTTCAGTCAAAAGCAAAAGCAACGAGACCGGGGCCATCGATCAAGTTTAATTGGCTACACACGAGGAATCTGAAGCTTGCCTTGCTTAATTGCACAAAACCTGGGAAGATAGTACAAATAGGAAGAAACGTTGCAGTAACCGGTACACCAGTATATTTCAAGTTTCAATTAAACATGGAGAGCAGCGTGCTGAGGTTTGATGTCTTGGTGGGAAGTATTAGTGCTTCTTGATTCCCTGTGCAATATGTCGGTCTCAACTAACGCTTAGTCTTTGAAAATATATATTTTCTTTCTTATTAAATCTTATCTATCTTATTATATCTTAAATTATTTACACTTAAAACGATGTTAGATTCACAAGAGGCGGTGGGGTAGCCTAGAGGTTAAAGCTTTCACTCGTCACGCCGAAGACCTGGGTTCGATTCCCACATGGGTACAATATGTGAAGCCCATTTCTGGTGTCCCCCGTCGTTATGTTGCTGGAATATTGCTAATAGCGGTGTAAAACTAAACTCACTCACTAAGTAGATTCACAATCTTCATAAAAGTGAGAGTGAATGAGTGAGTGAGTATTCTCTTACCTCCTCATCACAATCTTGCACCTTTTTGCGGCGAACGAAGTTCATACTTTTGTTGTTTAACGAAACAATTCTAACCCTGATTTTTAAAAAAATGTAATAAATCTGTATATGTCACAGATGTGTTTATTTTATTCCAGATTTGATAAAAAACCATCAGCACTTGACCGAGCACTTCCTCTCTCAGCTTCAAGACAAATATCCCGATAATCACTACATCTCGAAGTATGCCGTGGAGAAGACGTATGATCGAATCGTAGCGGCAACGATAGACTGGACGGGCAATGGGACGTCCATGTGCGACAGCAACGACACCAGTCCGGTACATCCTCGACATAAACGTGCTTCAGGGAGCGACGACGGTCACGGCGGGGGACACAGTATTGAGGAGGAGATGGGACATGGGTTTCACTTAACTTCTGTCGCCATCTTATCACTTCTCGTCTTCATAGTAAGCAATATCCATTTGCAATCAGAATCACAGCGAAACCCCGTTAATCTGGACACCCAAACTAACACATTTACGGATTAACGATGAGCATGGGTTAATGAGAGTAATACCCATTTAACGTCAAGGTTGCAAGGTTTTCGGATCATTATGTCCCTATTAACGAGGTTTTACTTTATATCAGTTAGCGATAAACTTTAGTTTCATGTTATATCAGTTAAGTGGTCATATGTTTTAGCGACTAACAGGTTCGGGTGGTCAGACTCGCTGACTTGCTTGACACATGTCATCGTATCTCAATTGCGTAGATCGATGCTCATGCTGCTGATCACTGGATTGTCTGGTCCAGACTCGATTATTTACAGACCGACGCCATATAGCTGGAATACTGCTGTGTGCGGCGTAAAACTGAACGCACTCTCTCACCCATATGGTTTAATGAACTGTTAACATATTTCAGCTGTGGTAGAACATACTATCAGCTTATGGAATGAAGCAGTATTTGGTTTCTAGAAAAGAAGATGCGTTGGTTAGGGCTTCATGTTAATTCAAGTCGCTATACGATGGCAAAGAAGAAAGTGATACCAGTCTGTGTAATCATAATAAGTACATTTTTCTGGCGCCATTTTCCCACCTGCAAAATTTGGTGTAAACCAGATGAGGGTGTATCTGTGCTATATTCGAGTGCCACACAGTGTGATAGAGCTTGCTTTGTGGCGTGTCGTAATATGCAAAGAAACATGGTCAGCGGAGCTTGTTGACCCGAATTAAAGGCTGCAAGAGGAACATATTACAAGATTTCCATTGTATAGGAAACTTTTCGCTTGTGTGCCTGTGGTGTGATTTTGCGCCATAACTTGATGATGGAATGCGGCGCTTTCTGGTATGAACTGGCCATAGACGCAGTGTTTTTTTCAAATATGTCTGTCCTGTGTGTAGCCCGCCACAACGACCCTGAAACAAATATACCCAATAGAGCCCCATACAAGTCTAGCATATATGTCAAGGCTGCCAGAGTTTAAAGGAAAATAAAGAAAGTCTTCGGGCTCTTTTTATTATATTTTTAGAAGTTCAGGGACTGTTGTTTTCCGTAAAATATGTTTTTTCAGAGAGGAGATGATGTCTCTCCTATACGCACCATGCATCCCCCACAGCAGGAAACCACAGAACCACATTATTTCCCCTAATGTCTAGCCCTCACTGCACTGCTGGGGCCCTAAATGAAGCAAGTCTAGATTTCCCCTAATGTCTAGCCCTCACTGCACTGCTGGGGCCCTAAATGAAGCAAGTCTAGATTTCCCCTAATGTCTAGCCCTCACAGCACTGCTGGGGCCCTAAATGAAGCAAGTCTAGATTTCCCCTAATGTCTAGCCCTCACTGCACTGCTGGGGCCCTAAATGAAGCAAGTCTAGATTTCCCCTAATGTCTAGCCCTCACTGCACAGCTAAAGCCCTAAATGAAGCAAGTCTAGATTTCCCCTAATGTCTAGCCCTCACTGCACAGCTGGGGCCCTAAATGAAGCAAGTCTAGATTTCCCCTAATGTCTAGCCCTCACTGCACAGCTGGGGCCCTAAATGAAGCAAGTCTAGATTTCCCCTAATGTCTAGCCCTCACTGCACAGCTAAAGCCCTAAATGAAGCAAGTCTAGATTTCCCCTAATGTCTAGCCCTCACTGCACAGCTAAAGCCCTAAATGAAGCAAGTCTAGATTTCCCCTAATGTCTAGCCCTCACTGCACTGCTGGGGCCCTAAATGAAGCAAGTCTAGATTTCCCCTAATGTCTAGCCCTCACTGCACTGCTGGGGCCCTAAATGAAGCAAGTCTAGATTTCCCCTAATGTCTAGCCTCAGCCCTCGCTGCACTGCTGGGGCCCTAAATGAAGCCCAAGTCTAGATTTCCCCCTAATGTCTAGCCCTCACTGCACTGCTGGGGCCCTAAATGAAGCAAGTCTAGATTTCCCTAATGTCTAGCCCCTCACTGCACTGCTGGGGCCCTAAATGAAGCAAGTCTAGATTTCCCCTAATGTCTAGCCCTCACTGCACTGCTGGGGCCCTAAATGAAGCAAGTCTAGATTTCCCCTAATGTCTAGCCCTCACTGCACTGCTGGGGCCCTAAATGAAGCAAGTCTAGATTTCCCCTAATGTCTAGCCCTCACTGCACTGCTGGGGCCCTAAATGAAGCAAGTCTAGATTTCCCCTAATGTCTAGCCCTCACTGCACTGCTAAAGCCCTAAATGAAGCAAGTCTAGATTTCCCCTAATGTCTAGCCCTCACTGCACTGCTGGGGCCCTAAATGAAGCAAGTCTAGATTTCCCCTAATGTCTAGCCCTCACTGCACTGCTGGGGCCCTAAATGAAGCAAGTCTAGATTTCCCCTAATGTCTAGCCCTCACTGCACTGCTGGGGCCCTAAATGAAGCAAGTCTAGATTTCCCCTAATGTCTAGCCCTCACTGCACTGCTAAAGCCCTAAATGAAGCAAGTCTAGATTTCCCCTAATGTCTAGCCCTCACTGCACTGCTGGGGCCCTAAATGAAGCAAGTCTAGATTTCCCCTAATGTCTAGCCCTCACTGCACTGCTAAAGCCCTAAATGAAGCAAGTCTAGATTTCCCCTAATGTCTAGCCCTCACTGCACTGCTGGGGCCCTAAATGAAGCAAGTCTAGATTTCCCCTAATGTCTAGCCCTCACTGCACAGCTAAAGCCCTAAATGAAGCAAGTCTAGATTTCCCCTTTCCTTTTAAATTTAAATGTTTTATTTACTACCATCAAAATGATATATATTCAGGGACTAAGCGTTAGCCTACCCAATAGTCAGCAATCGCCCTCGCTTTAGAGCAAATCTAACCGAGGAATGAATCCCATTTCTTCTCTTATGATTCCACTGCCCCCGACATTATAGCTCTTGGAGCAATGGTGTAATGACATTAAAAGCGTTGAGTTATCCTCTTGCGGTTAGTTACTGTTGAGGATAACAAACACACACACACACACACACACACCCCCCCCCACACACACACACACACACACACCCCCACACACACACACACACACACACACACACACACACACACACACACACACACACACACACACACACACACCCTTCACTTAAAAATTGATCTGTAGCTTTCCGCTTTGTGTACGATATAATATGCACTTATTGTTATCTTGTGTGCTGGGTCACGTGAATTAAAATGGAATGTGGAGTTTTATTATGTCAGGAATTGCTTCCAAAGACAACCCAGTGACAGAAGCTGATGAAGAGTGTTCTAGAGACTGATTTCATTTTGCTCCCGATTATCAGTGTTTGTGGGTTTGCTTTTAGCAGAAAAAGACAAACGTTTTCTGAAGGTTGGCATGCCATCTAAAACTATGATAGTTAGGTCATTTGGAAAAATGACGAGGAATATGGGTTACGTGTATTCTAAGACAAAGCCTCAACATATTCCATTGATTGTCAGTCACTCGAGGAATATTTCCGAGTCTATTCTTTATACCGTTTTATCACCACATAACCCTTAGGAATAAAAAATATCTGTGATCACATATGTGTTTCTTCTATTGCTTACAGACTGCCTTGAAGATAGGTGCAACAGTGCCTCGGTTTTTCAGGAGCAAAATGCAGGTAATTGGCAGATATCGACACTTCGCAGTAAACACATATTTTAAACAAAAATATTACTAGTAATCAGTAATAGTAACTGTCTTTGAAGCAAATATGAGATTGACTTTAATCATGTAATTTTAAAAATGTATGGCACTTTTACAAATTTGTTTCCGTGAGATAATGTTTAAAGACTTTCTTGGGAAACCTAGTGTGCATTTTAATGTTAAATATGCGTTGAATTGTATGCCATTTTGCTTTCGAAAAAAAATGTTTTTCCTGACTATGTAATATTCTTTCAAGTACTGTAGTTTGGAAGTATTAGATATTGATCACCCAAAAAATGTGTTAAGCTACTTAAGGATTTTACAAATGTTCTTGGAAGGTGTTTCAACATTGGTAATCTCTACATCTAGGTATTCGACGCCGTGGTCATCCTCATCTCCTTCATTATCGATCTCGTCTTCATCGAAGGCGTCATGAGCATGGACGTCAGTAACTACGTCATCGTGTTGACCTTCCTGTTGCCATGGAGAATCATCCGAATTCTGAACAGTAAGTAAAACACTGGCTGTATCATCCAATGTGAATGACGCTTGTCAAAGCGACAAAACCCTTTCCATAATCATAAAACATTGTTGTCAAAGAAGGGTTCATTGTACATTTCCATCATAAATGTACTAGTATATCATAAGCAGATATCAACATATAATTGCAGTGTCATATTAAATATTGAGTGCCCCTGGTGTTCGCTACAAATATTGAGTGCCCCTGGTGTTCGCTACAAATATTGAGTGCCCCTGGTGTTCGCTACAAATATTGAGTGCCCCTGGTGTTCGCTACAAATATTGAGTGCATCTCGTGTTCGCTGCAAATATTGAGTGCACCTGGTGTTCGCTACAAATATTGAGTGCATCTCGTGTTCGCTGCAAATATTGAGTGCACCTGGTGTTCGCTGCAAATATTGAGTGCACCTGGTGTTCGCTACAAATATTGAGTGCACCTGGTGTTCGCTACAAATATTGAGTGCACCTGGTGTTCGCTACAAATATTGAGTGCACCTGGTGTTCGCTACAAATATTGAGTGCCCCTGGTGTTCGCTACAAATATTGAGTGCACCTGGTGTTAGCTACAAATATTGAGTGCCCCTGGTGTTCGCTACAAATATTGAGTGCACCAGGTGTTCGCTACAAATATTGAGTGCCCCTGGTGTTCGCTACAAATATTGAGTTGCACCTGGTGTTAGCTACAAATATTGAGTGCCCCTGGTGTTCGCTACAAATATTGAGTGCCCCTGGTGTTCGCTACAAATATTGAGTGCACCTGGTGTTCGCTACAAGATGACAATGTGGAAACTTAAAACTTGTTTTCGAAAAACGGAAATACAGAAAGAAAGAGAATGTCTGGAGCCTGTTCCCCAACAGGAGATCTAAAACTAATTGTCTTGTCCAGGTCTGATCGTGGCAGTGTTGGATAAGCACCGGTTCCAGATGAAGCTTCTCTACAAGCAGAAGAAGAAGATTGACAAGCAGTACCAAGAGGCTCACGAGAAGAACAAACAGCTCCTGGTGAGAGACAAATACAAAGCTGCATTGTTGTAGACCCAATTATGTCATGCAAATATACAATGAGTGAGTGGGTTTAGTTTTACGCCACACTCAGCAATATTCCAGCTATATGGCGGCGTTCTGTAAATAATCGAGTCTGGACCAGACAATCCAGTGATCAACAGCATGAGCAACATAATTGGCATGTGTCAACCACGTCAGCGAGCCTGACCACCCGATCCCGTTAGTCGCCTCTTACGACAAGCATAGGTAACTGAAGATCAATTCAAGCCGGATCTTCACGGGTTCAAGTAACTAGTAAATATTTGAACCGTGCGTTGTAGTGATAAGATAATGAGGTCGTTTGTAAAATATTTCAGTTATGTTAAGGGTTGTCAACTTCTCATGTGGAAGGAAGTAATGCAAGTCTGCGGCGCTTACTAGTTTGGTGATTGAACCCAAAGCAAAGGTACAGCCCTGACAAACGGCGGATTGTTGACAGTCGAATGAAATGTGTGCATATATCATCTAACTGTTTTGGGGTACTGCTATATTGTTATTCTCCCGCAAGCATCAACAAAAATGTATGTCTTTAAAATCAAAGTAACATATTTTCTAAACATACATTTCAAGGTACTCTAGAACTGTTTCAGATGTTGGTTTACTTAATAAAATGTTATTACTTGTTTCAGAAACAACTTGAGTCCATCAAGGGTTTATGTTCGGAAAAAGGCATCACTTCCCTTGAACTTGGAAAAGCACTTGGTATGTTGGTAATTAGATGCAATTAATGTCCTTCCATGCCATAATTTTATGGCATTATTTGTAAATAAAGGAACCGGTTTTAGCAACAAAATGCTGAGAAAGACGGGCAAAGTTCTGTTCGTGGTGCTTTCATCCTGACACTTCTGTAACATCAATCTGTGCTGATGTTATTAAATGTTATCAAATAATAAATTAAATGACAGGCTAGCTGATACATGTTAATACATAATAGATACAAACTTTTGTATCTTTTGACATAGACTCTAGCTGTAACCGGTTGTTGCCCAATATAGCAGGACTATCAGTTGACGGCGTTGTGTGTGTAAGGTATGGTTACTTAACATACGTATAGTTATAAGACAGTTATGTCCGGAGTCCGTGGGTCTTTTCCACTCCGTCCGTCCCCGTATACAAGTACAAGCAAGCAGTTTTATACGTGGTAATTTGTGTTAACAGAAGCAGACACCATTGACGTTACAACTCAACATGCTGTATCGTGCAATGAATAATCTAGAGTCTCATTAAAATGGACTTGAATACATAGACGTTAACATGGCGGCCATTCATATTTAATTAACCTAATGTATAATGAAGGTGGGATTTGTCCTTAACGACAAATGGCGGAAGCGTCACGACTACAAAATGACGTAGAGCTGGGACCATTAATTCTCTATAACAATCTTTCATTGTATTAACCCAGTGCACCTACTGTGCCAGAAGGATATAATTTAACGAAAAATTATGTTTAAAGGTTATGTGGATGTGAATCCATATTTTGAAAACCGAAACAAGTAAAATGTCTGCATTACAGTATCTAGATGTGGGGGGAAAGTCTGAAGGGAAGCGGGTCTGTAACGTTTATCAGAAACGACCAGCACGGGATTCGAACCCAAGTTTCTGCATGTTTAGCCTAGCCCTGCACATCAAATGGGCCACCAGCGGTCTTCCATGGTATATTAATAGTTTGATACACAGACAATGAACGTGAATGTACAACAAGCGTTATTTGATAAACTATTTTATGTCATAAGAAACATAATCTAAACCGGAAGAATCAAGATCCATATTCAGTAAATATATTACAAGTGGTTTACAGATATATATTTTCTAGTCATTCGAATCCTGTTTGAAAATGAACTGGACGTCTATTTTACACAAGAGATTTACACAAGATATTTAGGTAAAGAAATGAGTTAGTACTCGTTACAAATACATAAATACTCCTTGTGGATTTCTATTTTGTCGCTTCATCTATCTATCTATCTATCTATCTATCTATCTATCTCTCTGTCTCTCTCTCTCTATCTATCTATTTATCTATCTATCTCTATCTATCTATATCTCTATCTATCTCTTTCTATCTCTATCTATCTCTCTCTCTATCTATATATCTATCTATCCATCCATCCATCCATCCATCCATCTATCCATCCATCCATCCATCTATCCATCCATCCATCCATATCAACAATTCTGCTAATAGAGAACCCCCCTACGATACTAGCAATAGATATAAGTGATATTGACATCCGTGTGATATAGCACCAGCTTCCTCTTCGTTACTCATCATGTTTTATCTTTCCAGACCACTCTCAGTCAGGAAAGATGAGCAAGCTGAGAGCTCTCGGAAAACTAGCGTTCCATACGGCAGACACACTGTCCCCCCACTCCCCCACCATCAACGGCCACGGCCCTATCTTCTCGCCAACGTCGCCGACCAACAACATACAAACACCAAGCTTAAGCGACGCCCGACGTCACAGCAGCAGCACGCCCAATCTTCCAGTCATTGACGAGACGCACGTGAACGTGGAGGATGCCTCATCTAACCTATAATGAGCCCAGCTGAAGATTGCATGTCAAAGCGATATCAAGCCGACTTTGGGTCTTGCAACATGTTCTACTGCGTACTTGTTCCCTGAATGGGTGATTGTTACTTACACTGTTTGGAAGGTGTCCAAATGCTGTCTGAACGCACTGTCTGAACCGGAGATAGCCTTTCCAAATTGAACTTCTTAATGACGTTATCGGTTATCGCCTAATGCTTATACCAGACATGCAAAGGAAGGTTCAGCTGACGAAAGGAGGTCACTACATGTCCATAGTTCCAGGAAGATGTTACGTAATCGGAGCATATTAAGAATGGAACGTAATCTGGACAACGCGAGGGAGTATATCTACATTGGCGCCGACTTCCATGAGGAGTAGTGCCCTGGCACATGTGTATATCAACGTTTTCTGTTTCCAAGTGTTCGAGTGATGATGTGAGGAGCGGATACCTGGACGGCAAACTATTTTGACATTAAAGAGAATATGTCATTAATGAACTAATTTCTGTGAAATTGGAATACAGGAAAAATAGGCCAGTACGTTGTGATAATATTTTCTCAAAATTCCGTCATAAACTTTATTTTCTAGAATATGTATATCAGTAAACAGTTGATTATTCATTGAGTAAAAGCATTACACAACAACGATGGATTAGTCAGCATTTCAAGCGTTAATGACGTTGGTATTGAAGAGTGGAAACGTGTTCACGATGCATGGATGAGATACAAAGGAAACTTGTTAATTGTACGAACATTGCTATTCCAGAATCTCTTAGCTGTGGGTGTTTATAGTTCTGGTAAGATTGTTGGGGAGATACTATACTGAGGGACACAAATAAGCGAACACCACTTCATGTCAATTTTCCTTTATTTATTCTCAGATTTCCTCCCACATCGCAATTCGAAGCTGATGATGAAAACTGGGAAATATTGAAGGATTACTTGAATTTTCCTGTGTTCCTTTATTTGGTTCTCTCAGTATATATACTCTATTCATTACCTAGCTAGTCATTTCGGTAATATCGAAATGGCACTGTAGTATTTGTTTATTTGTTCCTAGGAACGTTTCTATACGGTCATAGTTTTTTTAAAATTGTCTTTTTATGACGCATTGTTTTGAATGAAACGTCTTACACCTTTGGGTGATCCACGTAAATAGAAAAGTATATTGAAGTGTAGACAAAAGTTATATCATTCATATAGAAATGCACAGTCGATAGGAATCTTTCACCCTGTACAGGCGGATGATGGCTACGTATTGAACAACGCCCACGGAAATGGGCCACTCTTCATGTATAATCATGCTATTGTGTACAGAACCTTCCACTAAGTACAAAACAACAAGAGAAACCGTGTACACATTATTCTAAGTTACACAGAAGATGGAAAATTGTTTACAACAATATATAGTGTTTATACTGTGAAATACAGGACCCCTGTCCATGTTGGGGTACAACAATAAACATCTAGGCCTTTTGATAAATTACCATTTACGCTGCGTGCGCAATTTTCTTAGTGTTTTTTTATTTTATATTATTTTTCAAATAATAAAGTATAAATTCATTTCTTTGATTCACTTTACACAACTTCTGATCGTCGCTATGCAAGGTATAGGTTGATTATGCAGTCAAATCCGGGTATCACCATCTTTGGAGGGTCACCAATATCTGTTCATTAAATACGATTTTCGTTATTTCCATGAACAGCAAATTTATTATGACTCAAACTGGTTTACGATTGGGTTCGTTTTAACTAGTGTTCGATGTATACGAGTTATATCCGAAGTTGGCTGTTTGATCGACTGTGTAAAAACATGCAATACGACAATGCAAATGAAAAAAATCTGTTATCAGCCTTTTGTACTGAATTTCTTTTGTACATACTGGTGTGAATTTGTAGGTTATTTGTAAGTGGCATGTATGTCAGTGGTTGGTACGGCGTGGAACAATACTGTTGTATTGCATTGAACATAATACGGATATTTCGTAAATCTAGCACTGTGTATTTCTGTTCTATGTTATGATCGTACTCGACTGAATGATTAATCTTCTGTTTTGACCTCATGTCATCAAGTTTCATTACCACGCAGCAATGACGTCAGCAATGACGTCATCATCAAATAGCTATGGTTAGTGGTGCTGATTTAACCTCAACTGTTGCTTAAAGTGTGTGGATCTAATTTCAAAGAATCTATACTGGACAAAATAAGTTAGGGATATTGGTAATTTTGTGATTGATATTTTATGAATGTGTCAATGAATAAATACATCATTATTCATAATTTAAAATTTACATCTATCCCTAACTATTTTTGGCCAGTATATATATAATCTCTAAGAAATGATGTGATAACCGTGTTACCAAAGCGATCGGAAATAACTATGCAGTTTTGTCAGTGTCAAATCTATTGCAATGCATATGCCGGCCTTCAGTCTCATTACATTTTGATAGCAGTCGAAAGAGAGGAGTTGGGGTGGTATGTCTTTGCTTTATTTCCTTCAATGGTGGTAGTCGTATCTCTTTACATAGATCATAGTCGTACACGAAAGTAGACTTGTTTACAATGTGGTTACAGTTATTGAACCTGGTGAATATTTTAAGTTCTGTGGTTTGAGAAATGTATCGTCGATGAAGAAGTCTTTGCGTAATGAATTTCAGAACACGGAAGTAATGTTTCAAATGTCTTAAGTACTAATGTATTAAAATGAGGAAAATTAACAAAGTTCATAAATATTTTTCACGTTATATGTTATTGGAAATTGTAAATATTACAGACTAACCGACCACGTTCCACTATGTTAGGCCTGCCAAGGGTCACATTGATAACGAGCATCGGACATAATCAGGGACCAGTATCTGACATTGGATGTGTTAGCTAAACTTAATGAAACCATCATACATTATACCACGCACACCCTTGCCCTCCATCAGGGCTTAGTCACGGCACCTCTCTAAACCACAGGCCCTCGTGTCTTTGCGAAGATTAAAGATTTAAAAAATTAATTTTTTTGAGATGACCCCCGACTAGAAATGCTACACAGTAGCTACACAGTACAATACATTATGACATGCATTGTACTGTGAAGCATTTCTAGTCAGGGGTCATCTCAAATGTTATATGTTTTTTAACATCTTTAATCCTCGCAGAGACATGAGGGCCTGTGCTCTAAACCGCTCCCTCAGGTGTTGTACTGCTGGTTCATCCACCACTATACCTCCTAACATGCAAGTCATCATTTCTGTTGGGTTGAGAGAGTCGGTATGGTTTTACTATTTTCACGCTGAGCTATTTTGAAATGAAAATTTAAACAGTAAGAGTGAGTGAGTTTGGTTTTACGCTGCTTTTAGCAATATTCCAACAATATCACGGCGGGGACACCAGAATGGGTTTCACACATTGTACCAATGTAGGAAATCTAACCCGGATCTTCGGCGTTAAGAGCCAACGCTTTAACCACTAGGCTACCCAACGCCCTTTCTATTTGAACCAATCCATCAACTGACCACATGTAATTTGCTAGGTTTAAAAATAGTTGAACGTGGTCGATTAATCTTTAAAACTTACAATTTCCAATAAAATACAACGTGAAAGATATTTCAAAACTTCATCCATTTTCCCCATGTTAATAGATGTTTATTAGGGAGACTTGGCGCAATTTGCATATCCAGTGGTTTACGCATTATTGTTTATTGTACCTTTCACGGGGCATGCACTTTGTACTCTAAGTGAAATATCCTTTTTAATTATTCGTATTTCTTCGTGTTCATTTATCTCACTGTCTTTGACATATGTCTTCTATGTTGCTATTCAGTTTGCACAAAGTGCTTCTGCTATCCTTCATATGCAAGGAAAACATTTTTTATGATATTATAAATTTGTGTTGACATAAATATACGAATAAGAAACAATTCGAGAACCTTACCTTTCAGCAATGTGTTCATATCAATTATGAAAATATTTTTTGTTTCTCGATGAAAGCAAAACACTGTCTCAAGACTTACAACAAATATTGTCAACCGTTTCACATCATCTTGCACGGTCATGGAGTAAAGCCTGTCAACCATCTTGGTTGATCCGGCATAATACGAATCAACAGTGGGATATGTCGACACTGCGACTGTATCGAAATACGGATAACTCGACATAAATTCGATAGCCTATGAGACTTCGAGTCAGCGAGGTTTCATTGTATATCTAAAAGTGCTTTCTCAGTTGTATCAATGATGTTAAGACTGCATATGCCTTTTGTTTACTCTAGGTTATCCGGGAACGCCATAGATGTTATCTTAAGACGAGTGATAATGTTGTACATAGTTCTTACAGCAATACATGAGATTTGAACCACTGGTTTCCATGTTTTACTCTTCAGCTAGTTTTGCGTCACTTCTTTTTGGCATATGCCTGTTACTGTTTACATCCTTGTACAGTTTCACAATAACGCTTGTATCTCCGATGATTTCTTGAGATTAAACAGAAGTTATATTTTTGTAGACAGACACATTTTACTGTTGTTCATTTCACAAAACATGTTGGGCTATGATCTATTTGACAATCTGTGCAGTCAAGTGTTTATGTTTGTCAATGGAATTCCCATGTGCGTTGATGAATGAATGGATGAGTGAGTGAGTGTGGTTTTACGCCGCTTTTAGCGATGTTCCAGCGATATAACGGCGGGGGCACCAGAAAAGGGCTTCACTCAATGTTCCCATTTGGGGAATCGAACCCGGGTCTTCGGCGTGACGATAGAACGCTTAGACCACTAGGCTACCCCGCCGCCCCTGTGCTTTGATGAAGTCGGGGATGACGTCAGTATAGGACTCTATGGCGTTGCACGACGTATCCTCTTCTATCACTGAAAGATAGAATTGAATGGAGGGTGGATTTTGAATTCAACAGTTCTTGTGCTGACAATGGTTATTGGTGATTAATCAAGACAGTTTCAAGATATGTTTGAAGCAAATTTGTTCCCTTGACATTTGTTATTCAGTGTCATTACGTCATCTATGGCCCCTTCATCACCAATACCTCGCCCCCAACCAAGGCCCCACGTTGTAACTTATGCCTGTCCACAGTTGAAGTCACATGACGTTAACAGATCTTACCCTGTGAGGTACTTTTCACCTCTAGGCAGTGTCTGATGTGACCACCGAATTGTCTTGTGTTTACATACGTTTGTCTTCGTGGGTTTGTTACAGACGTTCACATTGTAACAGTTAATGTCACGTTAATGTCACGTTAATGTCATGTTAATGTCACCACTGAAACCCTCGAATGTGGCGGGGTAGCCGAACGGTTAAAGCAATCGCTTGTCACGCCTATGGACTTGGTTCCATTCCCCCATTACTGGCGTCCCCTGCCGTGACCCATGTGAATCATGTTGACATCACTCTATAGTTGTTCAGTTATCACACACGCCCAACGGGATCGGGTTGTCAGGCTCGCTGACGTGGTTGACACTTGTCATGGTGCCCCAAATGTGAAGATCGATGGTGTTTTCAAATGTTTTCACTGGATTTTCAGGTCCACACTCAATTATTTACACACAGAGTGCGGCGGTAAACACCAAACAAACAAAACAAACAGACACTACCAACCATAAACTCATACACTGCCAACCACAAGAGCACATTCTACAAACTATAAACGCATATATGCCAACTGTAGCATACACTGTCAATGCTTAGATGGTCATAAATATCTACACAACGATTATAAATTCATACACAGCCAGTCATTAACGCATATACTGCCAGTAATAAAGACATGTAATGTGAACCATTAAGGTCTAGATTACTAAACATAAACGTATATTCTTCCTACACACACACACACACACACACACACACACACACACACACTGCCAGTCTTTACCGCATATTCTACCAACCAAAAACACATTTACAATAAACTGATATATCGCCAGTCATAATCATAAACATATATACTGCTGTAATAAATACATATATTGCTAGCCATAAAATACATACATTTCTAATCCACAGAACCAAAGTATGGAATACTGGAATATTTTGCAGTTCGAGGATTAGCTGCTGTTACCGCACATACGGGCTGTGGTTTCAGAGAAGCGGCCATCTTGTTTCCATAACTCGATCGTAACTGTTTAAATTTCCAGTTTGCATGCCTTGTTCAAAGTTCACATTCAATGCAAAAACGAAATTGAAGTTTGAGTTAATATCATTATGTAAGAGATATGCACACAGCTTTCAACAATACTTTATCATATGTAACCAAATTACACAGTGTGCTACAGTTGCGTAGATCGATGCTCTTGCTGTTGATCACTGGATTGTCTGGTCCACACTCGATTATTTACAGACCGCCGCCATATAGCTGGAATATTGCTGAGTGCGGCGTAAAAAAACCCCACTCACTCACAGTGTGCTAAATGTCGACGCTATTTTAATAACGACCATATTCTATGTTCTGTATTTATGCTTTTGTGATAATGACGCGCATGATTGAAACAAGAATATTTTAAAATATTCTCGTCTTTAAATTAATGCCAGAGCAACGTTAAATTTTCAGTCATTCACTCACTAATGACGCTTACTGCTGCTGCTCAACTTTACATGGCTGGTGGGATACCACAGCTTCGCGGTGCACATCAGTTAGAGCGGGCTACGTGCATATACATCAGGTCGTAACACAAACTAATTAAAAACTTTACCTGTCATGTTTCATGAAACTGTGAAGATACATGCGTGCAGTAAACGTGTTTGTATGTAAGTCTGCACCGACACACATGACGTAAGGGAAAGGCCATGTGGGTCTGACATTTCCTGGCAGCAATGTATATTTGCATTTGACCTTTTGTAACTTGTTAGTTCTTCGGGTATTTTTGTCACTGACATCGACCTAGACACCGAAAAAACTGAGATAATTACCCTCCGTGAAGATTCACCCAAGACGTGTTCTATATTCGTCAGGGTTGCCATGTTAGTCATAAGCCATCACAGTTCAACTGGAAGCGATTTGGTGTTCTGCAGACATGTAATATCACTCAACTCGGTGTTTGTTGTCTAATGACGCACCGAGCAATGTTTTAGCATAGTGAAAGCAGTCTGTTAATAACTGAGACTACATCTGATAAACAAGTGTTTAATATTGCAAGCAACGACCCACAATTAGAAAAACTGGCCACCTTAAATATTAAGTCTCCCTTATTACCAGGTCATGTGTCTGTAGGTTAATTTTAACCCGGATTCTCACGGAGATTGTCCAATGACAAAATGGAACTTAGTCACGTGCATTGAATTTTTGGCATGGTGCTAAACTGAACCAGTCTCCGAAAATGTATAACTCTTAAAAAAAAAGTGTCATTTAAATTAAAAAGGATCCCCAGGGAGATTGGAGATTAAGGGGAAATTTAACTTCATTTAGAACTTTTACAGGAAGCGCTGGGTTGGTTGGTTTGCTGTTACCGCCGCACTCAGCAATGTTCCAGCTATAACGCGGCGGTCTGTAAATAATCGAGTCTGGACCAGACAATCTCGTCATCAACAGCATGGGCATCAATCTACGCAATAGGGATACGATGACATGTGTCAACCAAGTCAGCGAACCTGATCATTTCATCCCGTTAGTCGCCTCTTACAAGCATGGGTTACTGAAGACCAATTCTAACCCGGATCTTCACGGGTTAGGAAGCGCTGGGACAAGGAATGTAACATGGTCCAGGGACTGTGAGACAGACTGAACATAGTACACATGATGTAAAATGGCCGATTACATACTTCATGCACGTGATTACAGTGATCGAAACGATGGAGAACACGCGACATTTGACAATTGGATTATAACATTTGGAGCGGTCTTACGAGCTGATGTATGGCACTATATCCTCTGACAATAGAGACAGAAACAAGGGCAGATCTCGTTGTTTACTCTGTTCAAGTTGATTTACGCTGTGTCAGCAGTATACTTGTACACCCCAATGCCCTCGGACCAGAAAGCCAGCAAATGACTAGGGGTGGGTATTGCAAAGAATTTTCATATTGCGATATATTGCGATGCGAAAGCATATATTGCGATATGTATTGCAATATATTGCATGAAGGATTTTTTAACAAAAAACTACTCATAATCGAGGTAATGCTTGATTTATATAGCAAAAAACAGAACAAAATCATTATGCTTGATTAAGCTTAATTAAAAACTTTTAATCGTCCCGCTTGAGCATTTCACTTTACCATTGCATATTCTACATACCGCGTTAGTCTTATCAATAGTTCCAGTTACCGTGAAGTTTTTCAACCCCAAATGCTGCCATACTGAAGCTTTTGTCCTTGTATTTTGGCACCACAATAAATTGTTCGTTGTTAGGGGTCGCCAAAACTTCCGGTCTGAAAAACGGAAATATCCGAAGATTTCCGTACGAAGCTTTCCGAATGCATGTCAAAATACCGGTTTTCGATCAGTGTATCGCAATACGTATCGTTTTCATGTCTGAACCGGTAAATACCGGTAAACCGGTTATATTGCGCAGCCCTACAAATGACACAATGATACCGATCCCTGACACATACTCAGTCCTCGGCAATCATATTTTACGAGCCCGTATTCATCCTCACGTGTTACATCGACTTAGGAACCCCATACAGCTCCCACATGGAAGTGAAGGGAACCGTCACTGCTTCCTTCCTGCAGGATCTTACGTTATACCTTAAGTGGCAGGCCATTATATATAAAAAGAACTTAGTTAAGCACCACCTGACATATCTCACGATCGAATGACTGACTGAGTTTGGTTTTACGCCGCAATATTACGGCGGGAGACACCAGAAATGGGCTTCACACATTGTACCCATGAGGGGAATCGAACCCGGGTCTTCGGCGTGACGAGCGGGCGCTTTAACCACTAGGCTACCCCACGATCGAATGAGCCCCGATCTTAACCCTTTGGATCATATCTGGGACATGATTGGCTGGCGCGTGCAACAGAGGGATCCTCCAATTGGAAGCTGCTTTACACGATGAATGGCGTAGACTTCAGAGGATCAGGAGGCTGACAGGGAGTATGAGGAGGAGGGTGCTGGCTGTCAAACAGTCACGTGGAGGTTACACTCGGTATTGACCTTGAATCGTGTACGATTCGCAAAATGACATTTTGCATGTTCACATTCACCAATAAATTCAACATTAAACATTTTCAAATAAAATTTAATAACTACCTGGTTTTGCAGATGAATCTAGTCCCCATACAAAAGCCTGGGTTTTGTGGTACAATGTCCTGTAGCCAACTGACAGGTAAGAAAACTTTAAAATCAACAAATACTTCTGCAAGGACATGAGTTGATAAAGCGTTTCATGTATTGGTCAGTGCCAAAGGTCAATAGGTGGCGTGACACCGGTGTAGTCATTTTGTGACGCTGATGCTGACCAGGTGAACAGTGACATCTCTTGTTGGGTGCTAACTGTGGAGGTGCTCACAGGATGCACGGACACTGTACTGTTTTCACATCCATACAGCCTATGGGAAGTAGCTCCACCCTGAACATTCAGGTGCTTGCACAGGATACTTCAAGAAAGCCTGTATAATCTAGCACTGATACTTATATAGATATTTGGTCAACTCAGAGTCTATTCTGTTTTCATTACTGTTCTGTTACTGTTACCGCCACTTTGTAAATGGCACAATCTGCTGGACACTGAAAGACCAGTTTTAAGTAAGATTACAAATTTCTAGTAGAAGTATTAAAGTGAATGTCCATAAACCATGTCCATACATTTGGCGGAAACATAATTCAAGTGCTCACACAGATCAAGGTGTAGTGAACAACAACAAACAACACTTCACCTTCCAATTCTTAATTTATTTTTAAGACAAAACCATGCCATACATGTTTTTATCTGTCCCACATTTGTTCTCACACATGGTCTACAAAGATATTACCACTTGATGACATCAACCTGTACTTCAAATATAATTCAACTGTCATAATAAACATGCCAATTTGTAACCCATTCAAAATGCCGGAATTTGCACAGAATGCTGAAGAATTGCACTGATCTGTTTAATTACTCTCTTTACTGTTAGACATTCATGCTTACATATATCTCAGTTAGCCATGCTAAATGCTGAAGTTGATAATGAGAAGTTTATGGGTTGGCTTGCCGCTGCATTCAACACTTCTTGATAGATACAATTTCACGATGACTGCCATACATACTAGTAGTAGATAGAAGATGTGTTATATGTCTAAGACCACTACAGTCCTCATCAATATCTTCAACTGTACATATTTGTTGCCCAAACTGTCCACAAGGAACACTGTAACATGTAAGTCTGATTCAAATGGGACTAACAGAAGTTGAATATCTGAATAGATGGATGAACTTCAGCATAAATCAAGATAGCTTTAGTCCAATGCTTCTTTAATTTCTGTAAACAATCAAAACAACTTGGTAAATATATTAATGAGATGTATATGTGATTTATCAATACAAATTTTCATATGTTAAATAGTAAAGACCAAGACGTCTCATACAAGGGAGACAACTCTTCGCTATGACTTCTCAAAGACAGCCATTAGAAAATCCCAACAGAAAACTGTTGCCACATAAAGCGAGTGAGTGAGTTTGGTTTTACGCCGCTTGTAACAATATTCCAGCCATATAACGGCGGGTGACACCAGAAGTGGGCTTCAGCCACATAAAGTAATCATGAGTGTAGATGAAGATGAGATGTTAGTCTTGTATGTGGTAACTGGGGAAGATATGGCTTCTAGTTGGGTGTGGACTTACAGCAGCCTGTATTTGTACATTCTGCCACCTTGGAGATTCAGCTGACCAGCACTCTTATTGTATGCTTCATGTGAAAACTAACAACCATGCAGCATTTGCAAATATACACATAACATTGCAGTAACAAAATAAGATTTGTACATTATCTCAGTTTAATTAAATCCATAATCAATTCATAACTCAAATCTTCATTTTACTCTCCAGCCATAAATTACAATCAACTAATCAAATAAAGCTGAAATAACGGGAGTTGTTATAAAATCATTACATATTTCACTATTATTTATTAATTGCAACAGATTAGTGTCCCAGGTTTTATTCAGAGTCATGACATTAAAAGTCACACTGCAACTGACACATATTGAGCACTAGGTTTTCAGAAATGTAAATATGGATATCAAACACATTTTCTTCATAAAATGACTTTATGTTCAATATCACTGATATTAGGGTATGTGAGGTACATGCTGAACATTGTGAGACAAATGAACAAGAATTTGCCGGCCAATAATTGTCAGTAACCATGGTAACACATCTCCATCAAACCCATATTACATAAAGCAGTAAGAATAATGTTAGTTCATAAAAACGTGTAACAGATTAGGTACCATTTTTACCTTGGTACCTTTTTAATAAATTCCCCTATTCTGTTTACAGAAGTATTTACAAGCACAATACGATAACCCCAAAATCAGTTGGGAACTTTTCATAACCCTAAGGTCCAAACAGGTCTAAGGGACATAACTCTTCTCCCAAATAAACCAGCTAGCTACATTTTCAAGAGATACTTTTAATGTGTAAAGTAAAACAAATTTGGAAAAGATTGGGCCCAACTTCTCTCCATTTCACTATGAGGACAAGGGCATATGTACAGGATTCAGATAGTAACCATGGTGATATTCACATCAATGACAGAGGCATAGATACATGTAGGGTGTGGCTTGATGCAGCTTGTTCTTAAAGTCCATGTTTGGCTGTTCTGCTCTGAACATTCAACAGAACATCCCCTTCATTCTTGCCAAATCTATGTTTCAGCACTCCATCAACACTTAATGTTGTCCATGCCAGTCGAGAAGAAAGTCACTTCAGGTTCTGGAATCAACTAGCCCATGGCCCCTGAAATGACTTTGTACATATATGTACACCAAATCTCGGTCACGTAAAACAATAGTTTGTCGCAAGAAACCCTTTCCCGAATTAGAATTGTTCTCTCCATTATGATGAGGCCACAGCTCCCTCTGGTGGTGCGACAGGTGAGTCTGCGACCTTGGCGGGCACTGGGGCCTGTGTTTGTGTCTCGTCTGTGGCAGGCTGCTCGGTGCTGCCGTTAACCACTGGTGGAGGCAGGGTCATCACAGAGCTAACAGGTGGCAGGCCAACATTGGGAAGAGGTCCAAGATTAGGCATAGGAACAGGAGCTGGCAGTGACACTGGAACCTGGGGCAGGCCTGCTGGAGAGGGAACAGGAAAGCATTACTCAAACATACTTGTTCTTAACTAAGACTTATGACACTTTTAATTGTGAGAGAATTTTCTTGCTTTAAGTGATCATATTTTAAAGATCGAAGGATCAACAATCAGATTCACAAGATACATCCACAAAGGTATGGTTTTACGGTGCAACCAGTAGCCTGCAACTTTGGTTGAACAGGCCTAAAAAAAAGTTGTTGTGGTTCCGATTACCCGACCGACCCTTGAATTCTGGTGCCGACCCTTTTCTTTAAAGCATTATGAATAATATAAACTTTCCGATACCATCGTTTTTTCCAGACATCGGTCATTCTGATAGAGAAAGTAAACATGATGGCTGCAAGCTTGATTGAATAAACAATTACACATTGATAAATGATTTAATAGTTCGTACTTTACTTGTGTGACAAAAAAAATCCTACCTACACTAAATTGGGTGTAATCGGAACCACATTGTTTTTATTTGGCCTCAGTTCATTCATTCAGTTTATTCATCAAGTGAAGAAGAGAAGCTTGTGTTAATGTACCTATCGTATACACTATACTAGAAGAAAAAACTGTTGAGTTTCGCAACTGGATCCTTATGCGAAAAAATGACTGGCTAGTATAATTCAGTATTTTCAGAGCTACAACATGATGATCCCAGGTCACTGAGACCTTCTCACTGTACGAAACAAGACACATTTTGACACTTTTATTGGCATTACTGGGGCAAACAAAAGCTTAAAAACCAGTTAGTTTCTTCTCTGGTAAGTTTCTTCCGTTGTGACTCCAACATGACAACAACACAAACAAAGGGACATCACTCTGAGGTGGCCATAGATCTAAGCTATTTGATTGGTCGAGAGCTGGTCTCTTACAAATCAGCTGCAAAGATTAGAATGAAAACTAAAATTGTTATGAAAAGGCTGTTCTGACATTGCAACTGTGTTGTATGCTACAAGTTGACACTACAGGTTACACGGTGAGAACACACCTTAAGGTGAGTCTTACCTGGATCTTTGGCATGATGACCATTAACTTCAACCACAATACCCTCCACCTATAATTTGTCTTAAATGAGCTTGGTTGCAACTTCCCAGAAGATGGTGCTGTACATTAGCCTCAACTTCAGGACTTATGGGTTAATTCTTAGAACAGTCACTACCACTTACTTGTCATAGGAACATTCATAGGCATTCCTGGGGAAGCCAGTGATGACAAGGGGGGCAACGACACAGGGGGCATGCCTGGTAAAGATATCGTCGACGTTAAGGGTGGCATTGATGACAATGTTGGTAGACCTGCAGGGTTGGGCATGCCAGCGGGAAAACCTGCAAGAAATTACATGTTATTGTGGGATGTCAACAACAATTTGCCATGTCTGTACATGATATAATGTCACCAACTTTGCAATTCATTTCTGGTACATATCCATCTGTGTTCAAGAGCATAATTTAACAATAACAAGAAGATCATGAAGAGTGAGTGAGTGAGCTTAGTTTTACGCCACACTCAGCAATATTCCAGCTACATGGCGGCAGTCTGTAAATAACCGAGTCTGGACCAGACAATCCAGTGATCAACAGCATGAGCAATTGGAAACCGATGACATGTCAACCAAGCCAGCGAGCCTGACCAACCGATCCTGTTAGTCGCCTCTAACGACAAGCATGGGTTACTGAAGGTTCATTCTAACCCGGACCTTCACAGGTCAGATCATGATGAAATGTATTCACAATAAGGTCAAAGCAGATGTAAGAGAGGCGTGACATCGTGACTAATTCACCTGTAGCAGATGTAAGAAAGACATGGTGTTATCGTGACTGACTCACCTGTAGCAGATGTAAAGTTTGGAAGGGGGACTGGGGGCTGTGAGGGGAAAGCTCCACCTGGTGGTGAGGCAGCAGCAGGAAGACCTCCAGGAGGCATGACTGGGATGGTAGGGGACCCTGCAACATCACAAAAAGGTTGTCTGTGTATGGAAGTAAGAAACTAAACTGGACATTGTTTCAAACACAGTTGCATGTATGGGAGTTATGACTGCCTTAGTGCTAAAATCCCGGTGTGGAATTGTGATAAAGATCAAGTGACCTCATTGTGAAAGAAGTATGTATCTAGCACATCACAATGGCTCTCACTGGTCAGCATGGTGTTGCTGTACAATGCCTCATGTTACCAGTGTATTAACATTATTTTCCATTATAACATTTGCACAGAAACAATTTATGAATGAAAAGACAAAATCTGTAATTCCGAGGACATGCCTATTAGCATAATTGTAGGCTAAGAGTAATAACTATTACACCAGAAATGTTGGCATGTCTGTATCTAAGCATGCTCACACTTAACCAAAGGAGACAAAGGTGTATGTTGTCTTTAGAGCCTTTTAGTTCATTGTGTACAAATTTTCACACATCATATGCCAAGACATTGTGCCAACTAGTACTATTTGATGTTCATGATATAATCATAATGAAGCGTGTATCTCCTACCTGTGTTTAATGACAAATTGGCCATGCCTGCTGGCAGTCCACCTGGTGACGTGCTCAGTGAGACCTGCAACAAAAACAAGTTTAGATGCATGGGTCATGACAACAGAAATGACAGGGTGACAACTCTGTGTGGTCAGCAAGGTGAAGTGTGTGGACATACTCGTGATGGGGAGAACTCACCTCAGAGAAGCCATCTGGAGACTTAGCTGGTGCTGCTGCTGAAGCACCCTGGCCGGGGGGAACTCCCTCTGCTCCGGGCTGGTTAGGTCCCGAGGGAAACTGACGCTTCGGGATTCTGTGCAGGTAGCCATACCCAATGTTGCAGCCAAGGCTGGACAGATGAAACACAACACATAGTTTAAACTCAGTGGAAATACACACAAACAAATCATCACTTTTAAAAGTTTATTTAAAACTACACACAATATTCCAGACAAATGATGGTAGCCGTTAAAAATATCTGGCCAAGATAAATCAGTGACTGATATAAGACAAACGTTCCTTTGTTTTGTGTATGAAGGACATGCTACTAGTCAAATAGCTAAGTAATAAGGTCGTGTCTTATGACAATGTAAGAAGGAATACCAACAGGGATTGAGGTTACATACAAAATATGGGGAAATTCTATCATTATCATGATTGAAATCGTCATTCACATCAATCGTTCACAAGAAGAAAACCACAACATCACATCTTAAGCTTCAAATATGATTACAAATGCATGATACACTTCTTCATCAGAGTCCTCAAAGTTGATGCAGCAAACTGTTGACATCACTTACCTCCCTTCCCCTCCCCAGGCTCCATTGGGAGTGATGGTGACTTCTCTACATGAGTCAGTATCTATGTTGTACACGTACAGCTTCAGGGGTTTGGCTTCATGTGATTCTATTAGAGTAAATAAGTCTTCAGACTGCAACAAATAACATGAAATAGGTTATGGGTATCAAAATGGTGCAGATTCCAAACAAACTATTGGTTATTTGATAAATGCAAATATCCCTGTTGGCAAGAGAATGGTCTCTGCCTGTCGGAACGAGTAGCAGTGTACAAACAAGCTAGCCTTTAGGTTGGTTGGTTTGTTGTTAAACGCTGCGCTCAGCTATATTCCAAGTGGCAGTCTGTAAATAATCAAGTCTTGACCAGACAATCCAGTGATCAACACCATGATCATCTATTTACGCAACTGGGATACAATGACACGTGTCAACTAAGATAGCAGGCCCGAATACCCAATACTGTTAGCAGCCTCTTACTGATGATACCTGATGACAGCATAGAAGCCAATTTGGTTTGATTTTGAGAAAACCTCGTCTGCCAACAGGAATTTGCTGCCAATGCAGGAAAATGTTGGTCTTAATACATGTAAACTGGTATGGATGCATAGTACTTCTCATTGGTCAAAGTTTCATTGAAAAATAGCTCAGTGTGAAAATGGGATATCATGCTGATAAATTAGACAAATCAGTTATCATTATGGCCCAACATCTGGCGTTTCATTATTTCAACATTCAGCCAACCGTAAGAACACTCATTTGCTTGATAAATGTGCTCATCATTGAAAAGAGGTAATAACATTCTACTACCAGTTAGACTGAGGGAGGAATACTACCCTGGTTATAGCATGTCAAGGAGTTTCTAGCTACAGCTCGCCACGAACAGCCGTAATATTGCTAATGCGCGTAAAACACTTTATTTCATTCATTCATTTCTTCCTGCCTGCCTGCTACAGACAGGCAAACCAGTGACTTGACCAACACTCCACACTCAGGTGCCATAACATCGAATGTATCAGATCTTCAGAAATGACACTTCTTTATCATCTATTGGATTGACTCAAAATGCCACTCAAACATATTACCAACAAAAACAGCCTTACCTCATGTAGCACAGAGTCTGCCCCAATGACGTAATCTGTGTTTGATTTAAGCCCCGCCAGATCAGCAGGAGAGTTGGGTTGCACTTCCTGTTGACAAGGAACAAGTTCCACAATAAAACAAAACAACATCTGATAGTAAGGACGCAGTGGTTTCCGTGTTCAATGCTGTAATTTCATTTATAACAATGTCACTCTGCTAATGATTCAAATCTTCTTAAACATGATCAAGTTTATTAAAAATACTACCATTGTTCTCACAACATAGTGAACCACACATGTGTGTCAATATGTAACTTTTTACATCTTATTTTTATTCTTATGTTGATTAATTTTGAGTTTCAAAATATTTCTGGCATTTAAGAATAATACAAATGTCAAAAGATATTCTTGTTTGGCAATCATGGTAACACCTGACACTGCTCTAAATATTATGAATTATGTATTTACAATTTCAAACCAACACCATATTCACCCATAGAGAAAAGGGCCTTAAAATTTACTTCCATGGATAGCAAAAAAACAGATATTCTTGTTTCCTGCTCTGTGCACTGCAACACATCAGGTGTCTCAATTCCTTCCTATACAGAACTCACTGACTGACTAGGCACTTGCGTAACAAGTCAACGGAAATAAACACTACCAACAATGCTGGTTCTGCACGAAATAATTCCTTTTTGCACAAACTCATCAAAAATGTTCTGTTTAAAAAATAATCATATTGTGGCATGATCAAACCATGTAAATACTTAAAATGACAAATCCAGGCAATGACACATTTTGACTGTGTGATGTGCATGATGATAAAGGGGAGATAACTTAGAACTTACCAAGATGTGCCATACATTCTCGTTAGCTCCTTCAAATGAACAAAACCTGGGAAAAACAACACATTGGTGAATATATCAGTGTCAACAATACCTGATAATGAATATCTTCAGAATACACGAAAACATAACATTAATGTTTTTCAAAATATCATGAATTTTACAGCCAATAGCCATTAGACATGAAGACAAATCCGTGCAAGAATGGCAAAGGTCAAGGGAACTTATCATCACACTAAAGTTATAAAATGCGAGATCTATAAAATAGGGTCTGCTCAGTAGAGAATAACACAATAACAATAACACAAACACTCAATAATGCCAGGAACACTGACGACTAACAACATACCAGATGTTGCCATTTCTATATGAAGGAAGATAATTACACAGATCATCAATACTTGTGGAGAAGTAACCACATGGTAACTGACATCATTGTAATCTGGCCTTCAATCAATAGTCAGTAACAATCAACAATGTCCTTGTATTGAACAATTTCATGAAGCAATTAGAAACTTGAAAGTACATACATCTATAAAAATACCGAACATGCACAATATGTGTGTCCATGTTTTATGCCACAATCATCAACAGAGTGCAGGCCTGTATAAAATCAAGGCAGGGGAGGACAAACCAGTGGTTGACTGCATGAGCAATGATGATGTCATCTGGACATGACGACACATGATGATGAGACTTAACAGGCAGCACTTCTGACAATAGTCTATGAACATAATTCCTTGAGATCATCCCTGCCCGGACTGACTGACTGAGTTTAGTTTTACGCCGCTTTTAGCAATATTCCAGCAATATCACGGCGGGGGACACCAGAAATGGGCTTCACACATTGTGCCCATGTGGGGAATCGAACCCGGATCTTCGGTGCAACATGTGATGCTTTAACCACTAGGCAACTCCACTGCCTCCCTTCCAATCCATGTTGAGACTTGGATCACTTAAGACTCTCAATACAGCTGGAATATTGCTGATTCAGCTGGACCACTACTGACTGTGGTGTACAACATTCACTCATTCAACTGCATGTGTTGGTACTTTCGACTGAAATCAGTCCCAAATGTCACAATTCTCAGCATTGAATATGTGAAGCTCTGCAAACATTCTTCCTTCTATCAGTGTTTACAAGATATATGTGAGTAGTATTGCCTCACCTAATGCTGACCCCCAGGAGTCCCTGGCCTCCCCAGTTGTGGCTGGGGACGATGGTCACCTCCCTCACTCCTTGAGTCTTGCTGCTGTACACTGTCATCTTAACTGGCTTCTCTACATTGGTCTTTAGTAATTCTTTTAGAGTGTCATTATCTTGGTTCTGAAAGTGCAGGTTGATGAAATCATGAGGATATATTATAAAACTTCACAAAATACCACGTCAAGCTTATTATATAGTTTTATACACATGATGCCTATTGACAGGGCGAAATGACAGTTTCCATGCTTTTTCTTGCTACAGTGTGCTACTGCAGTGGTACACGGGCAACAGGAAGCAATGATTCTGATCATGTATATATCACATGTCCTCGAAACAAGATACAAATGTTTTTCTATTGCAATTTACATTTTGAATATTGCAAAAAACAACCAATGTAAACATGGTAAACTGCAAATAAGATTAAAAAGGACCTTCAAGTTTTTCTTCTGTATGAATCATATATACATTAGCTCATATGCAAATTGAGTAAGCCATACATTATTCATATACACCTGCCTGTCCAAGTTCCTAAACAAATAGGCCTGAAACTTACCAGTCTCGAATTGCCTATCGCCACAATGAAATCGAAGAAAGCTTCAAGACCAGCTTTGTGACCAGGTGATCCCTCTTGTACCTGAAAAACAGCAAAAACAGAAGTGTACATGACAATCAACTACAAAACAGCTGAAGCTAAACAATGCAAAGATAACACATAGTGCAACCAGTCACTAAAGCTAACAGGATGTATTTAAAGGGGTGTTGTTACATGTTCTTATAACTATAAGTCATGCCAGCAAATGTTCCAGGCTAGTTTGCATTTGTTTACCATACAATATCATTCAAAGATATCATCAAATACATTGAAAGGAAAGACCTGACATGGCAAGCTGAAGAAACAAAAGTTATTTCTAACATGCTTAACAAATACAAAGTAAACACACAAAAGTGTTCAAGGCAATAATAGACAGTTAAACAGTCATGGAAACATTGCCTTGATAACCGAATTGTGGCTGTCACAGAGTTGTGTGAATCATATGCATGGTATGAGTATTGCTTTACACCATGATAATAGAATCGGCAACCTCCCAGCTGTGCATGATGATATGCATCATTGCATAATGTGATACGATATGTGTAAAATTAACCTACAAATTACATCTGTCCAGAATCGGCAGAATGATAAACATGATTAACTGTATTCCACTAGCATAACCATTACAATACTCATGCATAGTAACTCAAGCAGCAGAAAACTGACCAACATGTACAGTACTGTCTGGCTGGCCTGAAATGAAACATGTAAACTGAGATCTTTTAATGTTAACCCATCTGTGATGTCATCTTTTGCATTTATTCAGAGTATTTTAACATTTTCCTTCCATTGTTGGTACGGGTCTCTCTCACTTCATCTCAAATCTAAAATTGACAAAATTGTTAACACTGCAAGTAAAATCGCTGGAGTCAGATTTGAATGTTTATCATCAAAATATGAGCGGCAAATCGTGAATCAAGCTGTCAAAATCATATCAGACCGTACTCACTACTTAAATTCGGAATACAACCTCCTCCCTTCAGGCCGCCGCTACAAAGTTCCAATAGTGAAAACTAAGAGAGCCCGTACATCCTTTATTGCAAATACCATATCTCTCTTAAACAAATGTGAAGATACCTAAATCAAAGAATGTATGTAAATATGTTTGGTATCTCTCTAATGTGTCAGTAGTTCTGCTCATGTAACACAAATTCCTGAAAAGGCATTAAAGTATTATTCTATTCTATGTTCAGGGTGCTGTTGTACAAAGAGATCTTAGGTGACGTAACTCCCAAACTTTAACATAGACTTAAGGTAGTCTTAGCGCTAAGGTTGCTTTGTACAACAGCTCCCTGGGCATGGTGCATCTAGAGTGTTTGTAAATTGTATTCATTGCTTGTCATATTTGTGTGGTATTCTGGGTCTGTAACCTGTAGTCAAGTTCACACTGTAACACAAATCTGCATGACACCTGATATTTCATAGCTCCAGAAACATGAGATGTGATGTACATGTCAGTGCTACTACTCATGATTAAAGTAAATATTTGGTTACATGCTGATTACAGAACAGTAAGACAGGTCGTGCACTGACAGTGCAAATAACTCTGGAGCCTACTAAACATAACTAGTTGTTTTGTTTCACTGTTGGAGATCATCACCATGATTATTAGCTGAGCCTGCTAAAAAACCTAGATGGACCAAAATTTACCACACCATCTAACCGAAAGCCTAAAGTGGAGCTAAAAGCCTAAAGTGATGCAGATCCTAGCTATTTAACACTTCAGTTAAAGCCCATAGACAGGTTAACCATGATGATGCTGAGAAACAAACAGAAGAATAAGCATAAATGGAGTGAATCTGAGACTTTAGACAGTCACAGAATCATAGGATGCTTGCATACCCAAGGGACACACCTCTACATTGTGCCACATGACGATCCATTTTTTCCACCCAAGCAAAGAGAACCATGAAAGATGTAGTACAAAGTGCAGCCAGTATTATCCTGACCATAATGACCAGAACAAGTATCTATTGTCAAATATTTACCCTATGCCATATCGGAATGTTCAAATTCTAATCTACAAACATTATGGCACAAGAAAATAGCAACTATAGCAGTCACTGAATGCAGCGATGGGAGTAATACATATGATACAAGAGCTAGTTACATGTACATTAATGTTTAAAAGCACTACCCTACATACCGCTGACATATAGAATTCAGCATTTGTTGGTGCCTTACAATGCATATATTCTACATCGTCAAAATACAACTTACTATGGATATACCACATGGTGCAGTATTTACTTGCATGTATCATCCATGTTGATGCATAGAAGCATGATAATAATGTACATGTGCAGAATATAACAAGTTGTATTGTAGATAAGGGTTAAAGATATATGTCAGAATTTACTATCGAAAAAAAAGGATTGTGACTCATTCTTTGAGTGCAATGTTTCATAAAAGCAGCTGATATTTTTTACATGTTAACAGGGGTGGAAATAACCCATTGCCCGACGTCCGAGTCCACTGTTTTTTTCTGTCGGGCAAGCACATTTGTATATCACACTGTACCGGTGTCCAGTTGACATTTCAATGTTAATTATGTTGTTTGTTTAAATAATCACCAAGAAAATCGGCCAGTAGAGCGGAAATATTATCAGGGCAAGTGATTTTACATCTGCCACTGTACCGGAGCACACTAGCAATTTTAAAGTTATTTCCACCCCTGAGTTAAGCATTTTATTGTTAAAGTCCAATAAAGGTACTAGTATCTGAAGCACTGCTACACATCACACTGAACATGCTGAAGATTGAGTAAACAAGTTCAAATTCCGAAGTCAATTTATCCTTCAAAATCAGTGTTTACATTCAGTATTCTGTCGAGACAAATTGCTTGAAATGATGTAAGTATAGCATAAACATAGCACATGGAAGTTTGGATATGCTACAAAAATGCACAACAGATACCAAGATGATATTGATAACACTGAGAACTTAACAGCTCTTCCAACTTCAAGAGACTCTGTACCACATGCTGTCTTATCAGCTCCTAGAACTTGCCCTTTCTATTATATTTAAATGATAATAGCATCATATAGCATGACATTTTATCACATCATCATCATCATCACTGATTTACCAGCTGCCATAGGTTCATATGATATGGCTGAAAGTTCTGGCAACATCTACGTGTCCAAAACGATCAAAATGAGAGAGTCAAACAACTAATTAAATAAAGGAATCCGCTGACATTTTCTTCTATAATGAGTTCAAAACTAGGTTAAGTAAATATCAGATATGCAACGACAAACAGACACGAATGCTGCTCCTTGATTATTCACGTTTGCAACATGCTACAACCTGTGCTCATCCTTCCAGACGTTAACAATATTCTGGTACGTTCCCTGTATCTAAAGTAGTCTATGAATTGGGAGTAAATAAATGCATGTCTATTGCTGAAACCTGAAGCATCACACCGGATGACCATGCAATATATGCTTCTGCAAACGATCATTTGCAAGCAGATGCTAAAATGTATCATCTGTCACAGAACTTGTTGAAGATCAAAATAAACTTAACTTTTCTGTAAACATTCACACAGTGATTACATTCTCTGTTCAGACATACCCGTAAGACATGATATCCTTCGGTGCCACCACCGGGGATCTCGGAACTAAGAGAGCCACCCATGTTCGTAAGGGTACCGAAAGTTACCGACAGTTGCTAGTATTTTAGTTGTCGGACAACCAACATGGCCGGAGACGTGGCAGCGTGTTGCATTGTGGGTAAACAAACTTCCGGGTGAAGAGTTCTTACCTCCCTTTACGGCTGCCTGTGAACAGAAATGCAGAATGAAATATTTGCCAATAAGAAGAAAACAACCCACAGTTCCCCACAACCCCAACCCTCCTACTAAAACCTGAAAGATATAAACAAGAAATATAATTTGCCTATAAGTATCTGCCTGGGCGATAAAGTTTCATGGTCAGAACCGTAACCTAAATTCGTGAAAAACCTTGATTCGTGGATCGCGGTAATTATCATGCTATCTCGTAAATTAAGTCTCGTATGACGTCACGAAGCGGTACTTTTGATGTACGTACAATGCCACGCCTCGCTGGCAAAAATGTTCCGAATCTCTGCATTACGCGCAAGTACACTAAATCTAATTGTCCAGCACTGAGATAAATGGCCCAAGATCACTAATGCCACCAATACCAAATTATATTATTACAAAATGTCAAGTAAATAAGATACCGTTAGCACCAACCTTCTCACATCTCGTCGTCTGCTTTCCCAGGTGCCAATACCTACTGCAATGGGCTGTCGTACATAGTGATATAAAATAACCAACTACTTAATCCACGAAACAAGGTGACGAAAATATTGTGGGCACACGAATGGGTGATGATTGTAAATGGCTTTGGTAAACAAACGTTTCATTCACGAGTGGAATATTAGACATTTTCAATTTGCTGAATCAATGAATAAAATAATCAGTGAGTAAAAAAATGAAATCATGCATTTAAAATACGATTTTCGCCGCACTTCCCTTATATCCACGAATCAATTTTTAAGGTTACGGGAGTGTATAAGAGGCGATTAACAGGATCGAGTGGTCAGGCTCTTTGACTGGGCTCACCGGTGATGGAGTTGCGTTGATCGATGCTCATGGTGTCGGTCACTGAATTGTCTGGCCAAAACTTGATCATGTACAGACCTCCGTCATATAGATCTAGAATATTGCTGAGTGCGGCGTTAAATAACGAACAGAGACTATATATACCGATGTATTTAATCTCTGATAACGAACAAACCACTGTCTGAAAACATTTAATATTTGTTGGGTTTTTGAAGATATATTTTAACGAACGAATGGTGAGCCAAAGTTATATATTTATGCTTTTTTTACCTTAAACTTTTGTCTGATGTAAATTATCACCCCTATTTGCTCATCTTCAACCCGAACTATTGCGAATGTTTGCATCAGTCTAACTTATATATTGTGGTCTTTGCATCGACGTGGAAAGGGGGAAGAAACTGCTGCACGACAAGGTATAATAAAAAGCATGTGAACTACTTGCGTTCTTGAATGGGTAAGGGGAGACAACTCTTGCAGGTATGTTGGTATCGCTTATAGTTTTCGGACCAATCAAACTAACCATCAGATCCAAGTCTCAACATAAAGGGTGTTGAATGTTCAGTAACTACATATTTAATTATATTTCATGAATCTAGACTTTAATGCTTGCAAAATTATCACTGACAAAGAGAAGTTCGTTTCAATATCCCAAATTCACGTTTATACTGACGTCCACACAACGAACTGTGGGTAGTAACATTCAATAGGCCAGACTGATGCTCTCCGAATCCACACTCAGCCCATTTTCACCTCTGAGAATGAGTGAGTTGCTTTATGCTGATAATAAGTCTTGCAGTCTGACTCGCCGACTTGGTTGACTCATGTTACATAGGCGGATCCAGAGGGGTGGGGGTGGGGTGAGTGCGGTGCGCACCCCTCTTTTGTCCTGAAACTCGGGTAAAAATGAAGTGTGCATCCCCCTATTCTCAATAGTGTGCAACCCCCTCTCCCCCAACCCCTTTCTCAAAAAGCTGTATCCGCCCCTGTGCCATCAAATCCCAGTTGTGTAGATTGATGCTCATGCTGCTGATCACTGGATTGTCTGGTCCAGACTCGATTATTTACAGACCACCGTCATATAGCTGGAATATTGCTGAGTGCGGCGTTAAACAACAACCAAACACGCAGTTGTGCGAGACGGATCTCAACCTCTTGCTGTAACGGGTCCAACAGATGGATCTAAAAAAATTATTGAAAATGTATGTTCCGGATACTGTAGAACAATCCACAGATATCTGGCGGTTTCACAGTGACTGAGGGTTTCCCATGTATAACTGCTGTTTTACAAACCTCCAAAAATAAGCCACCCAATCCAGTTTCTTACACTCTACGCTGAAGGCAAAGTGTCACCCAGTGTACGCGTGCGGTGAGGTAGCCTAGTTGTTAAAGCGTTCGCTCGTCACGCCGAAGACTCGGGTTCGATTCCTCACATGGGCGTAATGTGTGAAGCCCATTTCTGGTGTCCCCCGCCGTGATATTGCTAAAAGCGGCGTAAAACCATACTCACTCACTCGCCCAGTGTGCGTTTATTCATCTCAATCCCCCCCCGACCGCCTCCGTAGTGTAGTGTTTAGAGCGTCCGACCGGAGAGTGGAAGGTCGCGGGTTCGATCCTCGGCCGCGTCATACCAAAAGACGTCAAAATATTGGTACTTGTTGGTCCCTGCCTGGCGCTCGGCATTAATAGGTACTGGTCGGCTCGGAGTCAGTATTGTGTGTCTGAGTGGGGTATTCATGCTCCACTGCGGCATGGTATGTCAGTGGGCTAGCACTATAAAAGCAGCTTCAGTCTGGGCTAGTGCAAGCAGCCGCACATACACATGCAGGCACGTCGTCATATGAGCGAAATATTCTCAAGCACGACGTTAAACCCAATTTCACCATCCTCACCTCAATCCCTCCCACTAGTACAACCTTTTCACAATGCCCGGATATGCAGCAGTATAATCACACGGCCGCCATTAGGACCAATTTGCTTTATTGTACCCGTGTGTCACCTGTCAGCAAAATTAAGACAGCATCTTTCAAGTGGAATAGTGTGACTACATGGAAACAGTGTGTGTCATAGTCGTGTTTCCCGAGACCTAGTAAAATACCCCTGGTTACCAGGTTCCCGCGTTCCACCTATCGAATGGCTGAACCGTCACACCCAGCAGAGGAGGTTATTTGATTATGGGTTAAGAGACCACGCCGAAAGAAACCCCCAATGTGCAACATGAATCAATATTACAGTCTCCATTGTCTAGCTGATTATATCTGGGCAACCCAGTGGTCGACATGAAACTGGGATGACCCCGCTGACCCCAAGAATGTGTGGCAGCAATTTGACATCTTCGATAGGCGATTTGTTTCCTTGGAACAAAAGAGATCTCGGTAATGTGACTTAACGTCATGAAACATGGACGATGAAGACACCGAGAAAAAATGTTTGATTTAATTTCGATTTTAGCTCCATCAGCAAAATGGTTAGATAAGATATTAGTTAGTATGGTATTGATTTTATTTCATTCACTTGACATTAATACATGTATGTTGTTGCATATCATATATCGAGCTTGATGAACAATTGTGCCGTGGGAGGCGATGTGGAGAGGGTGCTGTCAGTAATTGTTGGTGAGATTGAATTGAAAATCTATGCGACAACTCATGTGTATTCTTAGTATCAAGTAATACACACTATGACACACCATGACACACTATGACACACCCTGACACACTATGACACACCATGTCATTATCACACCACACCCGATATGCACATACGCGAGACCAAGAAATAGCACATTGTGGATTACGATATAATATAGCACATACGTGACTTATAAAACATTTGCAGAATGCCATACTACCAATCACGCCATTCCACGCCATTTCACACCATGCCACACAACACGCATAACACAAAGGCACCCTCAAACGTTACCACACAACAAGATATCACTCCTCGCCATAACACACAATGACACAGGTCATTCAACTGAAAACGCCACTTCATGCCACGCAGCATGCCACCAAACAAACCCACAGACACCACTAACCCATGTCTCGGCCTTCATCGCACAACACCCCATGTACGCAATGCAGCGCACCACGCCAAACAACCCACAGACACCACTAACCCACGCCACATCCCCCATCGCACAACACCCCATGTCGCTCATCTTACCACGCATCAAGTCGTCCATCAACCCACAGACACCACTAACCCACGCCACATCTCCCATCGCACCACACCCCATGTCGCTCATCTTACCACGCATCAAGTTGCCCATCAACCCACAGACACCACTAAACGTAGCTCCCATCGCATACCCTTCTTACACAATGCAGCGCACCACGCCGCCCATCTTACCACACAATGCAGCGTACCACGCCGTCCATCTTACCACACAATGCAGCGCACACCGCCGCCAACCTTACCACGAAATGAGTGCATCAAGCCGCCCATCTTACCACACAATGCAGCACACTACGCTGCCCATCTTACCACACAATGCAGCGCACCACACCGTCCATCTTACCACGCAATTCAGCGTACCATGCCGCCCATTTTAACACACAATGCAGCGCACCATGCCGCCCATCTTACCACACAATGCAGCGCACCATGCCGTCCATCTTACAACACAATGCAGCGCACCATGCCGCCCATCTTACCATGCAATACAGCGCACCATGATTCCCATCTTACCACGCAATACAACCAGGGAGACTCTATAAGTTGTAGAGTATCCCTGATACAATGCACCATGTCGCCCATCTTACCATGCAATACAGCGCACCATGATTCCCATCTTACCACGCAATACAACGCACCATGCCGCCCATCTTACCACGCAATACAGCGCACCATGATTCCCATCTTACCATGCAATACAGCGCACCATGTCGCCCATCTTACCACCATGCAATACAGCGCACCATGATTCCCATCTTACCACGCACGCAATACAGCGCACCATGTCGCCCATCTTACCATGCAATACAGCGCACCATGATTCCCATCTTACCACGCAATACAACGCACCATGTCGCCCATCTTACCACGCAATACAGCGCACCATGACGCCCATCTTACCATGCAATACAGCGCACCATGTCGCCCATCTTACCACGCAATACAACGCACCATGCCGATCATCTTCCCACACAGTCCAGCGCACCATGCCGCCCATCTTACCATGCAATACAACGCACCATGCCGTTCATCTTACCACACAATGCAGCACACCATGTCGCCCATCTTACCATCCAATACAGCGCACCATGATTCCCATCCTACCACGCAATACAGCGCACCATGCCGCCCATATTACCACGCAATACAGCGCACCATGCCGCCCATCTTACCACGCAATGCAGCGCACCATGCCGCCCATCTTACCACGCAATGCAGCGCACTATGATTCCCATCTTACCACGCAATACAGTGCACCATGCCGTCCATCTTACCATCGCAATACAGCGCACCATGCCGCCCATACCACCACCGAATACACCGCGTCATGTCGCCTAATCTTACCACGCAATACAGCGCACCATGCCGCCCATCTTACCACACAATACAGCGCACCATGCCGCCCATCTTACCACGCAATACAGCGCACCATGCCGCCCATCTTACCATCGCGCAATACAACGCGCCATGCCGCCCATCTTACCACGCAATAGCACACCATGCCGCCCATATTACCATGCAATACAGCGCACCATGCCGCCCATCTTACCACGCAATGCAGCGCACCATGCCGTCCATCTTACAACACAATGCAGCGCACCATGCCGCCCATCTTACCATGCAATACAGCGCACCATGATTCCCATCTTACCACCAGGGAGCAATACAACGCACCATGTCGCCCATCTTACCATGCAATACAGCGCACCATGATTCCCATCTTACCACGCAATACAACGCACCATGCCGCCCATCTTACCACGCAATACAGCGCACCATGATTCCCATCTTACCATGCAATACAGCGCACCATGTCGCCCATCTTACCACGCATGCAACGCACCATGCCGATCATCTTCCCATGCAATCCAGCGCACCATGCCGCCCATCTTACCACGCAATACAACGCACCATGCCGTTCATCTTACCACACAATGCAGCGCACCATGCCGCCCATCTTACCATGCAATACAGCGCACCATGATTCCCATCCTACCACGCAATACAGCGCACCATGCCGCCCATATTACCACGCAATACAGCGCACCATGCCGCCCATCTTACCACGCAATGCAGCGCACCATGCCGCCCATCTTACCACGCCAGCGCAATGATTCCCATCTTACCACGCACCATGATTCCCATCTTACCACGCAATACAGCGCATGTCGCCTATATTACCACCGAATACACCGCGTCATGTCGCCCATCTTACCACGCAATACAGCGCACCATGCCGCCCATCTTACCACGCAATACAGCGCACCATGCCGCCCATCTTACCACGCAATACAGCGCACCATGCCGCCCATCTTACCACGCAATACAGCGCACCATGCCGCCCATCTTTCCACGCAATGCAGCGCACCATGCCGCCCATCTTACCACGCAATGCAGCGCACTATGATTCCCATCTTACCACGCAATACAGCGCACCATGATTCCCATCTCACCACGCAATACAGCGCACCATGCCGCCCATATTACCACCGAATACACCGCGTCATGTCGCCCATCTTACCACGCAATACAGCGCACCATGCCGCCCATCTTACCATGCAATACAGCGCACCATGCCGCCCATCTTACCACGCAATACAGCGCACCATGCCGCCCATCTTACCACGCAATACAACGCACCATGCCGCCTATCTTACCACGCAGTACAGCACACCATGCCGCCCATCTTACCACGCAATAAAGCGCACCATGCCGCCCATTTTACCACGCAATACACTGCGCCATGTCGCCCATATTACCACGCAATACAGAGCACCATGCCGCCCATCTTACCACGCAATACAGCGCACCATGCCGCACATCTTACCACGCAATATAGAGCACCATGCCGCCCATCTTACCACGCAATACAGCGCGCCATGTCACCCATCCTACCACGCAATACACCGCGCCATGTCGCCCATCCTACCACGCAATACACCGCGCCATGTCGCCCATCTTACCACGCAATACAGCGCGCCATGTCACCCATCTTACCACGCAATACAGCGCACCGTGATTCCCATCTTACCACGCAGTGCAGCGCACCATGTCGCCCATCCTACCACGCAATGCAGCACACCACGCCGAACAACCAATAATAGCGTTACACCACTGAAGTCATGCCAAAACATTGTATATTCCTTCGATCACAGCTCGGCGTACAATCATCAATCCCCTGCACATATAGGCACGCACACACCCAAACCTAATACCACATCCTCCTTATTATTTGTAGAAGACTAAAAGTCAGCCCATGTTCAAAACATACAGAATAATCCAAGCATGAAGTAAAACACGAATAGCTATATTTTACATAAGTATTACTTCCAAATCCATTACCAATCGTCTTTCTACCTTGTCACAAAATTGTCACATGAAAACGCTAGGGGAGCTATAATTTAAAATTAATTCAGCTGTGGCCTACCGACGTAGATACTAATTTTACACTTCACCTGCTGTCTATTTCAGCATAAGTGTTTTGCATTATGCGTTATGTTTGAAAATGATGACACGAGATGGCTCGAGTTGAACCAGCGATTAAACAAGACAAGAAGTTGCAGACATAACAATGAAACACCTATAACAATATTTTATTTATCTCATCACTATTGTCTGATCTGTTTTGAGTGTGGGAAATAAACCCAAATGAATCAGCGTTTCACGTTTACAACTTTTAGTAACGCTCCCGAGCTCTGGTAGAGCGATGAAAAAACTCACATGTAAACTACCACACAGTTACACTGTCTCAACTAGTTAGTACAAAAACATCTACACATACTTTAGAGATTCTAATTTCTTCGATAATATTTAAAATATCACATCATATCAAATTATAAGATTTTGTCTTTGCATACTACTGATCTATATGGGGGGATAGGGGTTAATGTGGCACATTAGCTTTGCTATATGTTATGTTGGTCACATTCCCTCAGGGCTAATACGGTTTAACATCCATGGCATCATCACCTCATCAGGCCACACCATCGTTTTATCTGCTCTCTCTTCTCATCAAGTTACATCAGTACATCTCATGTCAAGATAACACCTTATTGTATCTCTATATCCATGTTCACATGTTCCCGAGTTTATTTCCTCATTCCATTCCTTAATGTCGTCAACACTTACTGTCTTGTATCTCACCGTGCACATGCTACAGTCGACAGTGATTACTCACATATACGTATAGTTATAGATGAAATACTTAAACTTTGTCGTGTGTTTCGCATTGGCCTAAATATATTTTAACGT